TACTAAAAAAAAGGAAAATAAAATTGACCGGAAGGATAAAATTGAACCACAACATATACACTGGACTTAAGACATATTTAAAAACTAATTAAGTGACAACACAAATTACTCAACATTTCTCATTAAGGACACAAAAATAATAGCAGCAGATTAGTGTACTGACTAGTACTCAAAATGCATGGTGTTATTGCATACCTGGGCAAATTAAGATCAGGGTAAACAACCCTAAGGTATCCTAATTTTATCACCAAAACGTAAGGGACTAGCTTAAGCCACTTTCAACAGCCAGTGGAACCTTGTTAACCCTCTAAGTCCCAATATTCACATACAAAATTCTCCAAACTGATCTCTATACATTACCATAAAGAATAAGTTGAGAGAATTTGGTAGAAGATCAAAGGATTTTCTCTTTAGGTGATTATTTCATTAATTCTCACATCCTTTCCTCTTGATTGTGTGTTGACATTGTTACGAGAAAATTGATGTTGGTCACTTTTGGACTAAAAGGGTTAAAATGGACAGCATGCCAAAATGGGCACCTAGAGACTGTTAAGTCCCTAACTTTCTAAACTTCTTTTAGTTGACTCTCTATAAGGCAGACATCTCTCCAAAATGTACATGAAGTAAAACCACCCAGCAGGGAGGGAGAAGAAAGAGTAAGAATCCACAATGATTTGCAGGAAGACAAAAAAAGATTCGCTATAATCAGCAAGCAAAGCTACAATGCAAGGCAACACTAGCAAAAGAGCACACAAGGGGCCCTGCAATTCCCCAAGGGCCACCCCGGCCGTAGGTCACGCACTGGAGTGGGAGGAGACCGCTGGCCAACTCCCTCGAGTTTAACTTTGCCTAAATGATATTTAGCCACATAAATGGACAAGGAGTCCCAAAGGTCTCCATTGACTCACCTTTAAGTACCTCCTGTACACTCTGACAGCAGTCTCCGGAATATGATACTTTCGCACAAACTTGAGATAAAGAGGCCAAATACGACGATGCTGGGTTATAGGAAGTGCTCTCAAAGCTCGATCAAAAGTCCGCCTTGTTCTCGTCACTTTACACTGATCAACTAAGAACTGGCAGTAGTCTATCCAGATTCTTGGCATCTGATAAAAACAAACATTCACCCAGTCAGTCAAATTAGGTGGCTTAAGTATGGCATTTCTTGGTGTTGCAGAAACTATGTTTGGTTAGGTATTGTGCTGTGTTATGAATACTTAACACTGTCTCCAGTCTATTGTATTACATTTTGGTGATTACACCATCCAAAACACAGAGAAGCTACCTAAATTATACATGCCTTTTCTTTCTGCAGCAAAAAAAGGAATGAAGGAGAGAAATGTAGACTGTAACCTCACCTTTAGTGTAATCTTCACAGGAGGGCAACATTTCTGAAAATTTACAGTGTTTTGTACAAAAAGCTGTATAAATCCTCCAAAACTTAAGCCCAGAAGCCACAAATTGACCTGAATTCATATGTTGTCCTCTTTCCATGTTATAAACCATAGTCATTAAAACTGGTTGTGTCCAAATAAAAGCATTGAGCCTAAACAAAACACAAAACTTTTGGTTGAGCTAGAGAGAGACAATTTGGAACGCATCTTCTTCCAAAAACGAAAAAGTCCATGTCTGTTCTCACATTCAGCTAGGAACCATGTCAAGCAAACCATGCAGCCTGGCCTTAAAAATCATGACTACAAATAAAAACTCTCAAATAAATTACTCTCCCTGAAATTTTCCTCTGAGCACAGCCTTGAGGAGGTGTGTGATAGGTACATATAGATCCCCCTCCCTGCCCCAACTTTTTCTTATGGACTTAACAAACCACTAAGACATTGATTAATAAATGTCATCATAGAGTCAAATGATGCACACAACATGTCTCTCTGAAGTTACTTTTTGCAGGGTTCATACCGAATTTTAGATCCAAACTACAAGACTTTTTCCAGACTTTTTTCCAAAACAATAATTCATTTCCAGACTCAAGGTTATCAAATAGGTGATCAATAGAGATCTTACAAAAATGTAGGAACAAAGCTTTTTTCATGGTGCACTGCAAACAAACAGGCGATATTGAATAAGATTTTACCAAAACAAAATCAAATTCACTTATAAAGAACTTGTTGTAGCTTTGAAAAAAAAAAAAAAACTCAAGACTTTTTACCATTTTTTTCCAAACTTTATCTCTATTTTCCAGTCTTTTTCCAAGTCTGGAAAATTGCTGGGCAAATTTCAAGACTTTTTCAAGAATTCAAGACTCTGTACAAACTCTGTATTTGCTGTTGTAATGATTTATTATGAATTACAAATTAGTTAGACCCTTTAATATACTTACTTTGTGCATAAAAACAAGTGATCTCTCAAAGGCATTGTTTATGTCCTCATATGTGGGGTCTGTAATAGGCCTGAAAAAAGAAGTCCATACACTTGATTCACAAACACACATTACAGTAAAAGAAGACATTCACAAGAAGATATAATCTCTGTTTTTTTTTTTTACATAAGAAAATACCTACCTTCCCCTTACTTGTCGTCTTCTCTCTCTGAGATAAAGATACCAAAGTTTGTAACTGAAAAAGAAATAAAATGCAGACAAAGTTACTTAAGTAAGTTTTAACCTCCACTTAGCTGGAAAAATGCTACTTTTTTTATTTACTGTCGCTTATTGCATGGGATACAATGTGCTTTCAACATTGCTGATCCTAGAAGTACTGAATGTAACGACATCTGGTAGGAAATTATCTAAATCTCCAAAAAACTCTCCATACAGCTAGGCTCAGTGGAGTGACCCAAGATTTTTCTCAGTCTTTGTTTTGAACTCTGAAAATGGCAACAGCTTTGAACGTCTCTTTTACCATGGTTATGCTTTGATCGAAAAACCCTAAACATAATGTCCAAGCCAACAATAATATGCCATTTCCAAGTTCCAAAGTATCTCGCTTTCAACACCAGGTTAAGTGCAACACGTTTCTTGTGAAAATGAGTTTTATTTGAATGAGAATAAAACATCATTTTCAAATCAATGGCTTTAAAATTAGCCTCACTTTGAAACAGAGGCTTGGGGCAAATTGGAAATGTCCTTAGTTTGATGGTTTAGTAAGGAGTCATCAGAGCTGATGCTGACTTTTGACCTAAAGAGACTTTTTCATCTTCTCAGTTGTTCTTTCTGTTTTTCCCAACAGATCACAAATTTTCAAAAAGTAGGTCTCTGTGACATAATCACTTCTTTTCTTCTTTTAGTGATGTACACATACTGTGCATATACCTTCCAGGAAGCTCTTTCAGAGCACGTTCATAGAGAAGATTCAGGGCTGTGTTGGAACCTTTTTTAGCTTTGTGTTCTATGTATCTCATCCAAAACTTAACAGAATAGGGGCTGCGAATTATTTCCTCTTCATAGGGAAGATCTTCTTCTTCCTGAAAGAAACAAACGCAAATGAATTCTATAAAATCCCAGATATTAGCCATCTATCTTTGCGAAATCGCAAAGAAAGACAACAAGTTACTGTGTGAATTTGGAGCTTATGTCCTAGTGAGGATGGCCTTGACAAGCATAACAGGACGTAACTAATCGATAGAAATCGATCATCGAAAATGTAATCGATTAATCGATAATACTCGATAGTACTCGATATTTGTTGATTGATTAGTCAATTTAATCGATTAAAATCGATAATCACAAATTTTTTGTCGCATCTATGGAAATCGAAAATCAAAAACGTGATCTGATCTTATCATAACACTGCGTAACACCTACCTTCGAGCTTACCTTCGAATCCGCTTTGTTGATAAAGATGATGTTACTTCTTTCTCCAATGGTAGCTACTTTTCTTATTTTTTTTTTTTTTACCAGGATCACTGCTGTAAATTTGTTCTCTAGAATCGTCAGAATCGTGGTAAATAACTGGAGTCACTAATGTAGAAATTGGCAAACTGTCGTCCGTTCTCCGAGAATTTAGAAGGGTATTGTTCGAGCGCTTATTGGGAGACACGGATGGTGGCTTCGGAGCGCGACTAATCTTTGTCTATTTTCTTTTCGATCATTGTCGAACAAATTGATAAAATCGATAGCTAATTACAGAAATCGATCAAAATCGAAAATCACAAAGACACGAGTTATCGATTTCTATCGATTTCCGTCATTAATCGATTGATTAGTATCGATTACGATCGATTACGTTCAATTTCTTTCGAGTATCGTAAATATCGATTAGTTACGCCCTGAGCATAAGCATCAACAAAAGAATATCAAAAGCCAGTGTTCATCTTGCATTTATGCTTATGCACTTATGTTACAGCCATCCTTGCTTCTAGCACATAAGATTCTTATGCTCAAGCTTATTCTTGTGTTATGCTTACTCTTATGTTTATGCTTAGGCTTGAGCTTGCATCCCTAGGGCGGCAAGGGGCTATTTAAGCCATTAATGATATCAGTAACATAACCTTTTCCAAGTGTGCACTCATGTCCCCTTTAAAAGAAGCTTGTAATTTCGCGGGTTAAACCAGGCCTGATTGGTGTAAACAGGGACCAGACAAGACTAATAATAATATACTGATGGAATTAACTAAATAAAAGCGTTATATTTTATAAGCTTAACTCTGATTGTATGTCCCGAATGCATAGCATGCCGTTTTGTTTACAAATATGAAAAGTTAAAATAATTATACTCACTATGATCAGATTCCTGGATGTTACTGGCATTCTAAATCCACAGGGTTCACCTGCAACTACACTATCTTTACACCAGTTTAACACAAATTTACCGAAGCTAACACGCGAGGTGAAAACTCTACTCCATGCAAGCCGAAGCCCCACAAACTGACAGAATCGTCGCCATTACGAACTTTCAGAGCCAGCGTGCAGAATCCAGCGGTCATTGAAATTGAGAATTGCTCGGCTACTAAGCTCTTACGGTTATATGGCATTCTCACATGAAGTGTATGCCAACGGTTCCAAAAGCGAAGCGTGGAGAAGAACTTCTGTTTCGAGACATCTTAAAATGAGTGGACTACCAGCTGGATGGGAAAAAAGGACGTCCAAGTCCACCGGAAAGACTTACTACTTTAACAGAGAAACGAATACGAGTCAGTGGGAGAAGCCAACAGAGTCAAGTCAGCGAGTTAGAGCTTCTCACCTGCTTGTCAAACATAACCAGTCGCGGAGACCTTCCTCTTGGAAGCAAGATAAGATAACTCGCAGTAAAGATGAGGCTTTAGAAATAATTAAAGGTATTATAGAATAAATTGCGAGTTTTTCGTTTGAGCTATCGGTGCGTCGTTGATCTCGGCATCAATATTATACGAAGAAAATGAACTACCGTCTTGTTATTCCAAATAAACGGCCGCCCCTCCTGTGAGAGGGGTTTCTGTATCAAATATCCCCTTCCAAGGGTTTTTTGAACTTTTTACGCTTCTGTTAAAGTTTTTAGAGCACACATCTTGCAGAGATGATAAAGTGGAGAGGCACATGAGGATTTATACAAAAAATATGCAGCCCCTTCGAAACACTGAATTTTAATGTATTACTGTTTCATTGTATAGAGAAAGAATAAAGTTCTGACACTTAATTTGTTAGCTGTCGTTATGATATTCGAACGTTTTCATTTCCGATTGGTTGTTGGAAGGATGTGCAATCAGAAAAGTTGACTTCTTCCCAGAAAATTGCTCTGTAATGAAAGAAAAAAACCACAGTAATATGTCATCATCCAATTAAAGTTTACCAAAGATCTCTGCCCTTTTAATAGATTTTGTCATATGGATCCTGTGTCCTGATTGGCGGGATTTTCCACATTGGTTCAATAAGAGAAAAAAAATAAATCATCAATCATTTCCTTATAATAAATCCTTTGTTGACTAAGCTTGTTTAGTCAAAACACTGGAGTTTGGCCTTTTTCTATCTTTTTGTGATTTAATTGACCTTGACCTTGTCCTGGTCCATAAACAAAAAAGAACAACATCAGCCCCAGATAACTAACCCCTCTAACCATGTTCTTAACCCCAGGAACTGCCAGTCCAGTTTTTAAAAGGTGTAAAACCTTCAGTTATTGCATTGAAAAAGCTGATGAATCCTTGATTCATTGTGACTCTAATTTTCCTTAAAAAAACGGAATTAAATTGGTATGAAAAAGACCCATTAATGTCCATTGACTTGGCAATTGACTTGGCAGTAAAGTCATATCATAGCAGATACATACTGAGAAGTTAGGGGTGGGGAATGGGGAAATCTGAGGTGCCAAGAGCCTGTTTGAAAAATGTGTGAAATGTCTATATTTATGGCAAGAGGTTTGATACTCAAATTCAAGAGAGATACACCCAAAGCAAGACATCATGACGCTACATCACAATATTTTCAGATCAGTTAAAAGTATCTGAGACCTCAGTTTTTCTAGGTCCCATTTGCCACCTTTGAAATTATCATGGTAATTGTGAGATAAAAAAAAAGTATTCTGAGGAACTAACCATCTCTCCATGTATCTCCACAATATGCATCATTCATTTCTGGCATATCCAAATAATATATACATAAACATATCAGTAAAAAATTTTATACAGCACTTGCACAGTAAGAAAAAGCTGAAGTTACCCTTTTATCATCTGTTTGCATCTGATTGGATGTCGTGTAACAAATTCTCTCTATCTTGCAGGTTACCAGAAGGATATTTTGTCAGGTAAGGCTACCCTTCAAGAACTGGCGACCACTGAAAGTGATTGCAGCAGTGCCAAAAATGAAGGAGATTTGGGATTTTTTGGACCAGGACAAATGCAAAGTAAGCATAGGTTTATATCCCCATAAATTTGAACTAAACTTTGTTTTGTCACACGTACTGTATCAAGAAATAAGGAGAGTGGAAGTTCTTGAAAGTAGTCCTCAATTACCCAGGTCCCAGGTATGCAGCCTATTTTAGTATGATTTTGCATATAGGGGGATTCCCAATAATGCAAATTTCATTGTTTTCCAGTTTTTATGTCAGTGACACTGTTTTTGAACTTTTGCATGGAGATCTTACATCCCATTCTATAGGAAATGCTTGATATCTAGATTTGGACTCCCCTACATCACAAGTTTCATCAGATAAAATCATACCCAGTTGGGTTCATTTGGAGAGATAGCCCCCAGGTTGCCTGCCAGTCTGTCTAACACTGACCCTGATATTAATTTTATGACAAATTAACGCCCGAGTCTCACATGGAGGTCGGGTGCCTAGGAACCTGGGGGCTGGAGCCACCAACCCCTAACCCAGGTAGAAAAAACCCCAAAGCCTGCCCTACCACGAGCCCCGCCCACCACACCCAGCCCTAGCCCAAGCACCCATCACACTGAACCAAAAGTTCAGTGGAGAAATGACGACTATAATACTACTAATAATAATAATAATAATAAGGGGTGAGGAGGAAGGGGAAAAAAACACACTAAAACTGAGCACGATGAGCAAGAAGCCCCAAACACTATGCACTGTAAAACTACAAGCACAAGTAAATGCGCAGACATAAATTGCAACAATAAACTGCTGACCGGGGGGTACTTGAAATTGCCCTGCAACAGGCCTAGTACAGTAACGCAAACCCGTGGCGAAAACACTGGAACATAGGATAACTGCCAGCTCGCTAATAAAACACTAACAAAAACAAACGCCATGCCAACACCATGCTAATGCCAAGCTTACTACTGACCAGCTAGCTCCTCGTCGTTAACTAAGTTAAATAAGTATAATTGTTTAATCTCATTATAAATTTTTACCAATTCTATCTTGTAGTTGAGTTGATTTCAAAACGACAAAAATTACGTAAAAGAAAATTTTACTCAGTGATTGCAAGTTAAACATTTTGCCAGAACTCTGAAATGCTAGATTCATGTAATTGCAACCTTGGACAAAAATGTCACAGAAAACTGTCAAAGACCCACTCATAAAAAAAACAATCAAGGATGGTGGGGTTTGGCCTTCTTGCAGCTTCATCCTCAGATTCAAGGGGAAAGGGGCCTGCTTTTTCATGTTATTCTGATTAAAATTGTAGACTAAAGAAAAATTAATGTCAATTATTAAACAAAGAAAAAATTGTCAGTGACTGGATGGAGAACACATACTTGAGTTTCCCATCAATGAGAGTATCCGGTCAAAACTCATAATCTTTTCACAGATGTGTACACGAACAGTGGCTAAAAAAGTGCCACATCCTTTGAGGGATCCATCCCAGCGTACCCCTTCACAACGTGGCAGAAGACTAGGGTGTAATAATCCAAGTTAACAATAATCTGTTTCTTCACTTTCAGGGCCATTTGAAGAAGCAACGTAAGTGTCACCTTCTTGTTTTGATCTTGATTGATGCAGATAAGAAGAACTACACAAAGCTTGAATTGCTATATTTTTATTCAAAAACTCATTAATAATTCATAAAGAAAAAACAATAGAAATTAATGTTTAATGAGTGTTTTTATATCTTATAAAGACAGGGCTAAACTTTACGTCCAGTTTTTTAGACCAAAATAACCCCAGAATATTAGTTCAAGAATGAGTTGATCTATAATTATGAAAGATTTTGAAGCCATTCAAAAAACTCGCAGTCATGTATTATCAGGTTTATTATCAGGTTTAAAAACCTGATAATACACTTCTTCTTTAAACAGTACTTTTCTAACAGACTTGTTATGCCATTACTTGAATTGACTGCTGTAGTTAATAACACAGCACTATAATTGTCTGGTTTTCTTTATAAGCCATTGACAATATTTAATTGCCACACCTTTCTCAAGTGATTTTGACATTCTGTCACATGATCTTAGACAAAAATGTTCTGATTTATGGCCAGACATTCAAGACCGTAGTTTCTGTTAATGGTTAAAGCCAGCCTGTGATTGGATTTCTATGCATGGTCTCCCTAATTCCTCTTCTTATAATACTCTTGTCTTCCCTTTTGAGGGAAGAAAGGTGTGACAGTGTCTTTTAGGAGTTTGCCATCTGCTGAAATAATATTGAGGTACTTGTGGCATTTACATCACAGATCACCTGACAAAATGTTGTATATCACTTGAGAAAGGCACCATGATAGCTGCAAATACATACAGCAGAGTTCTACTTGCAAAACCTTATTTTGAACTGCTTACAACAGCCATTCTCATAATGAAGCCAGCACAAAGGGTCTGCTAAAGAAAGGTTCAACTGTTTGAGCTTGTCCATAATGAGCAGTGTTTGTTTTTTAGCCACTGAGAGGAATTTTCTTGTTTAGTTACAATGTAATCTGTTTTCTTCACAGTTTTGCGTTGGAAATTGGCGAGTTAAGTGAACCGGTCTTAACAGACTCTGGAATTCACCTCATTCTCAGGACAGGATGAAAAAAGCCACAACTAAAGATGATCAAGCCAATTTAATAAGGACCACATAACAGCATAGCCTCAACATTTGACGAACTGTTAAGTTAAGCAAAACTGCTGCAGCCTTAAGTGTTGCATGAGGCATGACATAGAGTAATATGAATAATTAACTCATAAATAAAAATAGTTTGCAGGTTATTGCAAGTACTGTAATGCTTGTGTATTAGTTCCAGTTAGCAACTTTGATGCATAAGACTTAGAATTCAGTTTGCAAGCAACATTTCTGACTTTTGAACCTATGGTCAGACCTAAGATGAATAAAATACCAGCCATTTTTACAACAGCCGTTGTTTGTTACTTCATGTAAAAGTAAAGAGAAAAGTAAATTTTGGGGGGTCACCAAATGATCAACTTAGAAATTAAAAGTGGTCGATACTTGTTAAGCCATCAAGTGGCTTATAAAGTATCTACCAGTTTTCATTAGCACTGTGGCAAACCAGTATAGAGCTAAGTACATGCAAAACCAGAACAAACAATGGATAAACTTGTCTTACGTTTGAGTAGCTTATTAGAGGACGCAAAAAACACTATTACTACAAGTACTGTTCAGTTTTTTCACACTTTACACAGACTCCACGCAGGGCTGCACTAAGATTTCATGTTACCGGGTGTTTATATATTTAGTAGTGGGGAATTGAAAAGCTAGGGAGTTCTTTTGGCTTGATTTCCTCTTGTTCCCTGATGAAACTTGCAGGGGATTATGCTCATGGTTGCAAGTGAAACAGTGGCTGATGAATTTAGCTATTTTTACCATGGCAAACAACTAACTTGTGACTACAGCTGCCTCTCCTTGTCATGAGGGACAAAGACAATTTCTTGTTGCAAGTGCATCTTCAGAGGGATACCTCATGAGCCAAAAAAGTAGAAAAACATTTATTTGTAAATGACCCGTTTGAATAGTGTAAAATACTCATGAAAACAAAGTATGTGCCAGATTTAAAAGCACTTCTTTATCAGAAACCTGAAAATTCCTCCTTCCAACAGTTTTTTAACAGAGTTTAGGTCCGATAAAATTGCCAGACCCTATTAACTGGTATGTACGCTATAAGCAGTGGTTTCTCCACACCTGAGTGTACCTCTGCTCATAGGGTAACTGGTATAATGCTTAAAAACTATTTTCATGCTATGATTCGTCCCCATTTTTCTCTGTCTCTGCTCTGTCATCTTCCTTATCATTTTCTTCTGTTGTCTGCTTCTTGTCCTCTGTCGTCTTTTGCCGCTTTGACTCAGGCTCAGTTTCACTAGCAGTGTCACTCTTTTTTCTTTTTGTTTCAGCTGCTGCTTCTTTCTTGCCTTTCTGCTCTTTCCTAAATACTGTAAATAAGTTGAGTTGGTTAGCAGTTGGTACCAGCAGGAGGTTGTACTTTCAGTTTGGCTGGACCAACATTCAGTGTTTTTTAAACATAAACAAAGACTATAAATTTATTCATCTTGAATTATTTAAGATGCTGCCTTTGCTATGACATCTTGACAATCTTGATGTGACTGAGATGGTCATAATAAACAAATATCTAAATTATGTGACTAGGGATGACAGAACTGAAAACCCTGGACCACACTATTCATTAATTGCTTAATATATTCAATCAGGCTCATTTTGATGACAGGGTACTTTTCATAAGGAGCAATGATGCAAAATAGTATCCCCTACCCAGCTAGGTTACCTTAGAGAATCAAAGTGCATGTGGTGCATAGTTCAGTTGCAGTGTGTATAAACCACTAAGAATGGAATCATAACTCACAAGCCAGGCTGTCCTTGAGAGGTTTTATGAACTGACTAAATTCCATCTCCTCCAAAGCCTCAAACACATCAGTTGCTGTAAGAGTTTTTCTCTTCTGCTTCTGTGCAAAATTGTTTGCACTTCATGAAAGAATTAAAACACAGAGTAACAAAATATTAAAGATTTAACTGAAAAGAGACAAAGAGATTCCAGATAATAGAGCTACATCATGGCTTGAGCTTAGTGGGAGAATTCTCTTCTGTGAAAAAGACTTAGCAGTATTGTGACTGTACCTGCTATGGAAGAGATGCATAAGTCAATAGCAGCCAGGGTTGTCAAAAAGTTGTTGAATTAGGTGATTAATTTTGCCATCTTTTACTAAATAATCAGAGGAATGGCCGAGCAAAATACCTGGCCAAAAGCAGGGTGGTGATTTTTCCCAACTGTTGTCTATTTTTCACAACCTGGAAATGGTATGATTTCCTAGCAGTATGCTGCTATAAGGTAAAATGGAAAGGTAAAGAGTTCTTAATTTACATTGTCATCTGACTAACATACCAAAGGCCAATAGTGCACTCCATTAGTGCTCTATTTTAGGGGTTTTCAAAGCTATTAAGTTGCATGAAAACAAGAGAAAACTAAACAAGGAATTGAGGTCAATCCTTTGAATTGAACTTGCGAACTCTCACACAGAAGGCCACACAATAACCAACCGTGCTGTCCTAGTTCCTACCACACATATCTACACAGCTGAAAGGCAGCACAAAAGACAGACCAGTTTACATCCATCATTTTCAAAATTTATTTGAACAGTGCAGCACCCAGGGTTGTCAAAAGTAGCCCGCTACCGGTGAAAATCGCCGCCTACTCGTTTAGTATTGGCCGGCTACTCTGCTTAGCATTTCTCTACAGATGGCGTTTTTTAAATAAAATATCCCAGGACTGGCCGCTTACTTTGACAACTCAGCCATCTACTTCAAAACTTTCTGATAACCTTGAACACCACAATTTTTTACACATACCATGATGTAGCATAAAGGACAAACACACTTGCCGCTTTGCCAATTGCAGTTCTAGCTTCTTTGGCAATATTAACATTTTCAGGGAGCTGAAATATAGATGGGAATAACATAAGCCTGGCAATCAAACCCTTTACCTCTTCAACTCCACAAATGTTCTCATAAGGCACAAGTCAATTAAACCAAGAATGACTGGGTTATTCAGAAAAGTTGAAATTATTGTTGGTGGTATATACTTTGGATAACAACAAAATGACATGACAACATAAACCATGTTTATTTCATGGCTACAACCAGTGCAATTTGATATCAGAAATTCACACTTACAGCATCTTTTGCAAGACGTGCAATCACTGCATTTGGAAGGTTCAGATCTTCTGGTTTCTCTGCCATAGGTACAAAATCTGAAAAAAATTACCTTTTTCCCTTTAATGTGCACTTTCTCAATTTCCAAACAATTTATAACAAATGTTCATACAGTGGAACCTCTATGTAACAAACCTCTATATAACAAAGACCTCAGTATAATGAACAATTTTGTTTACCCCAGTAATAGGAAAATATATGGAAATTAAAGTACCTTGATATAGCAACACTCATTATAGCGAACAAATTTTGCCAGTCCCTTGGCACTTATATCGAGAAGAATATTGTACCAAAAAACATCCTAAACAACAACATTGTTTAGGATCCCCACCAGAGATACAGTGTCAGGGGCACCCAGTGACCAAATGTTTCCAAAGATGTCAGAATTGTTTCATATGGTTTTCTCTATGCTTTAGAAGCCAGTTTGGTTAATTTGGAGCTGCCCTAAAATCTATTTATCTGTTTGGATGTCTTAGGGGAATTTGCCTGCCTCAGAAGTTTTAAATGGTTTGTTCGTCTTATCTGAGACTGTTAGCTACCCTGATGGGTCTGGTAAAAAATTCAAGGACATGGAGTAGCCATACTTTCATAAGATTCTAGTGGTTTTGCCTTTACACCAAAATTTTCAGGAGACCTTTTTTTTTTAACAATTATTGCAATATTTGGAATTAAATGTCGAAAACACAACCTCTGAAAATTGAAGGTAAGGTAATAGAAAATCTAGGAATATCTACAAATGTACATCTAAGATGAATGGAACAGTTATCCAGAAAATTTTAGCCTTCCTCAAGCTTTAGAAATTTCTAGGCATTAATTGCTCCTTCAAACAGTTGTTTTACAGAAAAATGTCAGTGGGTGCCCCTGCACTGTATCCTGTTCCATGCTCTCAGTAATAAAAAAGTAATATCAAATAACCAAAAAGAAAAAATTATATGATCAACCATAAATAAAAGCTTATTCTCTGTTCAATTTTGTTATTAAAATGTCTTTGAGAGATTTACCTCTTCTGTACAATAAGAGAGATGGCTCCTTGAAAATGTCTTTGCAACTATGCGAGAGTCAGATACAGTTCTATTAACTTTTTAAAAATGAAATAGCAAGTAAATGATCCCACAGAAAATTAAACATCAAGGTCTTTTGGCATGGTCTGCTTGTTATTTGGCTGTCAGAGGGGTTCTATGAACTGTATTGTAGGTGTCTCCCCCGCCTCACATCAAGGATCGTAAAATAGACATACGATAGGTAGGTACAGGTACAAGAGAGCTAACAAGTGAAACCCCATTCAAGTTTGGCATGTAAGATAAAAATAAAGCACCAACAAATTTAGTAACCTTGACATTCTGGGCCTCTTCACATGAGCCCGGTTACTGGGACAAATTTTGCCTCGGGTTCATATGAGAAATTTCAGCCCGGTTTCTGAGATGAGAAGTTCTGGTGCAAAATTCGAGAAAGAAAGCAAACATGACAAAACTTTCACGCCTATCATAGCTTTGGCAACTCTTAGAGCTATATCACTGCAGTTAAATGGAATGTTTACGATTTGGAAAATACAGCAGGCAAATGCAAGACAATGCCATCCAGACCACCAGAACTCATCCTGCTTTCATCCCGGTAACCAGGCTGAAGTGTTCAAATGGCAAAATTGAACTGAGCCAGCCCGCTCTCTCATATGAACACATCAAAAATTGTACAAAGGACTTTAAAACTAATAGAGGTAAGGCGAGATCTCGGGAACCGGGCCAGCCTGGTCAACCGGGCTTATGTAAAGAGACTCACAGTTTGGTGTCAGCTTACATGAAGTCATTTACAAACGATCAAATATTGCCGCCCTTATTCGCCTTTAATACCTGTTTTACAAGCAACTAAGTGTTCTCAAACACTTCAAGAATCACCCTCTATTTCAAGGAGATTGAGCAATGCTATTTAAAGGGTCAAACACTTTTAAAAACTAACCTTAAACCTCGCTGAAACCTAAATTCTGGCTGTTCATCACTTTTCCCGCGAAATCTTTCCCGGCGTTCACTTTGCGCTGTTACAGATTGAAAGCATCAGTGGATTTTATTGGCTACATTTCACGAACATTCAACCAATGGAAAAGCTTCTTATGTCAAACCAAGTTTGAGCCGTCATTCTGTCATTTATTTTCCAGCGGATCTAAAGCTGGTCACGCGCAGAACCTGTTAGAAGGCCCATGTTGATTTTCACCACCACTCAGCCGCTACTCTTCGCCGAAGTGAATTTTGCGCTAAGCTGCGAGCTTGACAGACACATCTAGGATCTGTTTTTCTTCGGTAAGGACCAAAGAGATGCAAGTATTTATTTTACTGTTTCTAGATTTTTTGGGTCCTAGCACGTCGATAATCACTTCTCCACCTCGCTTATTTTAACGATCAAAGGGTGAAATTGTTTTTATATTGCATTGAGGTTTATGACATCTCCTTCCTCAGTTAACCTTTGCTGCCGACTTTCATTGTACACACACTGCCTTCTTGGCCAGTGAATTTTGTTATTTATGTCATTTATGATCCTTTTTACGTTTTGCATACATTCGTAGCCGGCAGACTTCATAGTCTTAAAGCAAACCTATCCAGAAAGATGAGCAGTTCCGAAGAAGTGTCATGGATTTCTTGGTTTTGTGGTCTGCGTGGCAATGAGTTTTTTTGCGAGGTAAATGCCGCTCTAATCGCGTTCTTTGAAATATATTTGTAGTTTTTTCACTAGAGAAAGAGCTTTGGTAGACGTCACATGTTAAAAGTATTTTTGGAAGGAACTTAATTTATTTAATGGTGGCCCGAAAACTCACAGCTGCTGTGTTTTAATTCCTCTCTGTTCCTGCATTGTCCAGATGGTTCTAGTTCCTTCTATGATCAGCAAGTTAATTTGATCATTCTATGTATTATACTTGAGCCAAAAAGCTATTTGTCTTCCCAAATTGCTTTTTGTGACTAATAACGCTGATATGATATGCAAAGACATGTTAGATCGAGATGGCAAAGTTTTTGTTATTTTATTATTGTTTTATTGTTTTATTTTGCCATACAAACAAAATATGCATATAAAACTTAAAAATGATGAGGCAAGGGAGCCCAAGGAAGCCTGGCTTTTGAATAGGACCACCTTTAAATTTTATCTAGTTAACATTTAACTCTTAGTACACACAATTTCTCTGGAACATAGAAAATAATCATTAAATAGGATAAAAATAGAAAAGGCTGAATGTGTAAGTGCAAAAACAAAAAAGAAAAGGTGAGAGAAAATAAATAAATAGAAAAACAAAAGAAACAAAAAACTACACACAAGTATTAAGAGAAGTTACTGAAGTGTACTTGTACTAAGAAAAAATGACTTAAGTTTAAAATTGAACAAAGCAATACTAGAGGCATTCTGAATTTCAAAGCTAAGGGACTTATATATTTTGGGCCCTTGAGTAGAAGTGAAAATTTCCTTACATTTGTCTGCAGTGGGGCAGTTAATGAATTCTTACTTCTAGTGTCAGATGAATGTACATCACAGTTAAGCAAAAACATGTTATTGAAACTTAGTGTTCTCCTTAAATTTTAGCTCAGGGATCATTTTTGACCGGTAAGGCCAAAAACATGCGTCAGAGGCACACTCTCCTGGCAAGGGAGCTTCGTGTTCTTAAAGGCTTTTATTTTCGAGAATTCTGTCAACCAATTGACCGAAAAGTATTTTAAACACCTCAAAACAAAGAATTTTATGATTGAAAGCTCGTGCCTTTGTTGCAAGGGTCAATTTAGTAACATAAGTTCCAGAAGTCACAAACTTTTCCTGCTGGTCGAGAAGTCTAGAATTGGGACAGACGCCCACGAAAAAATTGTTAGCCTACAGTGCTTCGAAAGAAACCAATCAGTAGTCAGAGAGAATAGCTGTGAATACTTTTTGTTTTTCCATATTTACTTTCTTTTCTTGTTAGGATCGGCTTGGATCACAACTTGCGTAGTTTTCAAAACAACTTATTTAATTTTAGTAAAAACTTCAAGTGGTTGCAGGCGGTAAAAAGTGTTGATTCAAGCGGTAAAGTTTACTGGTTACCGCCTGATAAGGAGAACACTGGAAACTATTAGGAAGAAGGCCATTTTTATAGAAATACATACTAAGTTTTTGAATAGAGCGCATGCCTAATTCCAAAAATGTTTGTGTGTTCCCATGGCTGGGCATTTGTCATTAAAGATCTACCCTGGGTTGGAGAATAAGTCACTGCTACTTTAAAATAGCAAGACAGTATGGCACATTAACATGTGAGTTCCTATTACACATGCATAGATTAGGGACATTAATTGATCATTCACAATTTGGCTTTTTGCATAAAATTACAACTCAAATTTGATTTCAGGTTAATTTTGATTTAACTTAGGTTTATTCCCAATAATTAATTTTTTTGTCTTGGAGTCATAGGAAGTGTTTGGCTTATGTGTGTTGTATGATTTGTGTTAAAAGGTTGATGAAGACTACATTCAAGACAAGTTTAATTTAACTGGATTAAATGAGCAAGTGCCTCATTACAGGCAGGCGTTGGATATGATACTAGATATGGAGCCAGGTGGGTTTCCAGGTGTTTGTGTAGTTACCATTCACATACAGTGTAAGTGTGTAAGCGTCACGTTTTGCAGCCTTAATTACAAATTAATTTTTGTGCCATCCAAATAGTTCAGTAATAATACCCTCATGCCTTGCTGTGCATGGCAAATATGAGGGCATAAATAACACTTACTTTACAGTTTTGACTTAGAAGACTATCCAATAAAATTAAGGAAGATCCTCGAAAGATATACTTGTTCCTTGGGCAAAGATTATAAAAGTTTTAAAATGATTAAGACCACAAACTGTCAATTATTAGACGAGCTGGAATGGGATTGTAAAGCAGACTCTAAGTGGACAGGAGGTCTGAGCTTTTTGAAAACAAATCAAAGAGGCTCTCTGCCTTGCATTCTCTCCTCTTTTTGTTCTCAATTCTCCATTTTGCTTTGGTCCCCGATCTGAACACTTGGAACAGTTTAGGACTTGTCTCTATTTCATTTGATACAAATACTATGGTAATGATAGAGATGTGATGGTAAATTTTGAGCCTGGTGAAAACCTGAGAAAGATGATTTTTCGGTCAAAGAAACAGGCGGCTTTAACCTAGTTTGATGGCCTTAGCTCCCACCAGTCTCCTGTAACTTTGTGGTAGAGCATCTGGACTAGTAACTAGAAGGTCACAGGTTAAATTCCTATTAGGAGTACTCTGATTGTTTCTTCCAAGCCACCTGCATCATTAACTGAAAAATCATCATTTTATTATTATTGTAGTACTGTTTGAAAAAGAATAGAAGTGTAACATTTTGAAGAATAAGGAAAACAAACACACAACGGTTTGAGAGCTTCAACACTTTGTAAAATCTAATTTGTTTTTGTTTACCCTAGGCTTGAAACAAAAATTGCATCAGATAAAGTGAAGGTGTTTAAGCTGCTGGCTAGGTGGAACAGGGTTAGCTTGACTTTTGTATTAATGGCTGTGCTTTTTTCATTGTAGATGATGAACTGGAGGATAATCCTAACCAGAGTGACTTGATAGAACAAGCAGCTGAAATGTTGTATGGTTTGATTCATGCGAGATACATATTAACCAACAGAGGCCTTGCTCAAATGGTTAGTGTTTTGTTACCAGTGTCATAAATAAACCTCCCTGCAAGCATTTCTTTGGTACTAAAAAGTAACAGGGTTGTCAAGATTTCAAGTTGCCGGGTAAATACAACAAGTAGGTGGGGAATCAAATGGCTTGGGATTTCTTTTGGTTCTATTTTTCTTCTATTTTCTAATAAAAGTAGCCGGGGGCCACTCTCTTAGTAGCCAGGGAAAATCCCTGGCCCCCAGCTCTTAATGACAACCCTGAAGTAATAACAATTATTACTTTTTATTGGCCAATAATGATTGATCTCCTTTTTAGCAGCCACCCTTTATGAAAAAAATTGACCAAAAGTTAATTTTATTTAGAAAACCCATAGTTGCATTCTATTTGAAACAATATCAGCAAAGTTCTCTGTATTTTGGACTTGCCTTTGTCTTTACATGTATTTTCACTGCCATTGTTTTTCAGATGACCCTCTAGTTTGTAGCCTGTTAACGCCTCCCTCAAGGTGGCTGCTCAAGACAGTTTCCACTGTTTTCAACATTAAATTATTTACTCGTACGTTTCTTTTTCAGCTTGAAAAGTACCAGAATGGTGATTTTGGTCATTGTTGTCGAGTTTACTGCGAGAATCAGGCAGTCTTGCCCATTGGTAAGTTGAAAAAAAATGAAGAAGGCTACAGATGTACAATGACTTTATAAATCATTTGGAACTCTATGATTTATGTACAATGCAGGGTTCTCATTAAGTTTTAAATTAGACAGTTAGGATGTAAAAGTAGCCAGCTTGGCAATAAAGTGCTGTAGGCAATTTCAGGCTTCACTCCCTCACTGATCCATTTCCACCCAATAGTAGACTGTTCAGACCTCATAATAGCTGGTTTTTTAGCTGGGTACAAGCACTTATTGAGAACCCAGACAATGTAATGGTATCATGTTAAAGGGACTGTGTCACTGCAGTCCAGTTCATTTTGTTTAATTTTGCAAATTACTTGCCCTCAATCACTATGGAACTGAAAGTAAGCAAAGAAATTACATGTAAATGACAAAATCAGGAATCCAAGACAAACAGATATGTCTCCTGAGCATTATTTTTGAAGTTGCAAGCAGCAGGGATCAACTTTGAAAAACTGTTGGGCTGAGCAGTTTTCAAAAACCCTAATTTCAGTCTGTTTCAGTCTTCTTCAGTTTTGCCCATCCGTGGCATCTGTTGTTTCTGTTATGTTATTTTAACCTTCCTTTAAAGTTTTAAGCGGTTATTTTTATGTTTCTCTTAATTGAATGGGTATTTTATAATTTCCTAATTTGACTGAATTTCGTGACACAGCTCCTTTAAGTTTTAAATTAGACAGTTAGGATGTAAAAGTAGGCAGCTTGGCAATCAAGTGCTGTAGGCAATTTCAGGTTTTCACTCCCCCACTGACCCATTTCCCCCCAATAATAGACTGTTCAGACCTCAAAATAGCTGGTTTTTTAACCAGTGACCAGCACTTATTGAGAACCCAGACAATGTAATGGTATCATGTTAATCGTTGTATTAGGGTTGTCTGATGTACCTGGAGAAGCCATGGTAAAGCTTTACTGTCCAAAATGCATGGATGTTTACACACCTAAGTCCTCAAGGCATCACCATACAGATGGTGCATATTTCGGTACAGGATTCCCACACATGTTGTTTATGGTTCACCCAGAATACAGACCCAAGAGGCCTGCCAACCAGTTTGTACCAAGGTACAGTATTATTGCCTTATATTAGTTGACTGCATTTCAACACTTGAGCAAAAAAGTAATGGTTATCAAATGGTGCTTTTATGTACTGTAAGTGATCTAATAGATGTCCGGGGTGTCTGTTTGATTTTGGAAGCCCAAGCAGGGGTGTTAAATAGATAGGAGGTGTTTAAAAGAGAGAGGCGTTTATTCTCATAACAAACTCCACAAAACTAATTATGAATTTGGTGAATATATCACCACAGTCTATAAATAGCAGTCTATAGTGGCTCCATCCACGTATACCATTTAAATCAATGTCGGTTGAACAAGATGTACTTGTAACGTGCAAACTCTTGTTTTAATAATCCAACAGGAAATTGAATAAACTGAATGATTTTGCTATTTTTTTTGCTAACCTATTTCGTAGCATTTTGGAGTAACTGTCATGCGGGGCATTTATTAGACAGGGGGCATTAGAGAGAGGGGCTTGTAATACAACAAACTTGTAGGTCATTTATTAGACAAGAGACCAGGGTGTCTGTTTCAGAGAGAGTGTCTGTTGGGTCATCTACATGGTATTGAACTGAAATGACCAAGTCCACTGCCACTGTCACTGCTGTTTTTGGTTTTTGTAGTACCATAGTTAAATAACTCAAAAGACACCCTTAAGAATGATGCTTCATGGGCAGGTAGAGAAAAAACTTGAGTTGTTCTGCAACTAAGCCACCATAGTTAAGATCTGCTTATCATGAACTGTTTTACAGTACCATGGTCGATTTAAAATCTAGACCTGAAACTTAAACTGAACTGCCAGTGCTATTTCTTGGTTTACAGATTATTTGGATTCAAAATTCATCCTATGGCCTATCAGATCCAGTTACAAGCGGCAGCCCAGAGGGGGAGGTCTGCATCTGCCCGCCCACGATCAACCAAGCCACACTATAAATAAGAGCAATAATTATTTTTATTTTTCTAAAGCCCTTGTGTTAGTTTCTTAATTCAGAATGTTTAGTTCGTTGGACTATTAAATGTACAGCTGCGCATAATAAATACAGTGTAATCACAGTTAAGTACACATATAATGCATCCAGGGTGATAAGTTTTATCAAAGTGTTGTTCCAGAGTAATAATATTCATACTGCTCCTGAAAAGAATTTTTGCTTTTTTTTAGTTTGGTCCCCACACCCACCCCCGACTAAAATTCCAGTTTAGCTTTGAAATTTAATAATGATGGCCTGATCCTCCCCCCCCCCTCTCCCATGGGTATTCTCAATGACCCTCTGTAGGGATGGTAAGGATATTTTTTGGAACCACACAATAAAATTAATGTGAGGTTCATTGTTTACAACACAATTTATGGTGTTTGAAGATTTATTAGACTGTTTGGTGATTGTTCCAAATTTTATTGAAGACATCAATAACAAATTAATGCTCTAAATGCTAGTATCAAAATAAGGTTCTTTTGAAAGTGTACTTTCTTTACTGGAACTTTTTGTGGTTCTTATGAGAAAGATTTGTTTTTGAAATCAAGATATTTTATCCGTAATGATAATTTTCTTTATTTCATTAACTAGCAATATAAGGGGAAATCAGGTCTTGGTCATAGAGGGGCTTTAGCAAGCACGATGATGGCAGTGAAAAGGGGACAGCAAAAAACAAGAGGTCTACAGGGGCATAGCCGGCTTTTCGAATTGTTGTAGGCCTGGCTGACTTTCATTTCTACTCCTGAAAGTTAAATTGCATGCATGACTAGTACGCACTGACCTCATCAAGACTTTCATCTCTTAAGGTTTGTAGCTCGCCCCAACAACACATAATTTATTACAAGCGGTACAGTGTTGTAGGTCTGGGCCTACAGGTCTTTGGGCTGGCCACGCCCCTGGGCCGAGTTGTTCAAAACTGGGTTAAGATAACCCAGGGTTAGTGCGAGATTTGAATTCAGATTTGAAAGCTTTAAAAGCATTTCAGCTTTAATTCTTTTTGTCTACAAGTTGATGATAGCAAGCTCTAAAAATAGCACAGAAAATTATCCGAGAAAATGCTTTTGAACATAAGAAGAAGAAGCCCGGGTTAATTTTAACCCCGGGTTAAGCGCTAATCGGCCTTCGAACAACTCGGCCCAGGTCTATATCACCTGAAAGCTGTTCTTACTAATTCAGCTCCTGTATAGTAAATTAGAATAATCACATAGAAAGGTGGCTTACATGAACAGAATTTGTTGGGTTTGTTTCTGTTGTCATCGTGCTTGTTTAAGTCCCCAAATTTAGGTCTTACAGTGTACTTAAAATTTGCACATTTGATAAATAACAAGGAGTACTGTTGGATAAAGTTAAGCATTTTTTGTTTGGCTTTTGGTCGAGTAAGATATGTGGTGGTAGCTTCTGCTTTCAAATGAAAGTTTGTATATACACATCTAATCTTTTGAGTCACCACTGTGTACTTTGCATTCTGCCTCTGCTATTAAAACAAACGAATTAAAACGGAGTTCTCAGGCATCTCATGAATTCCAAACTTACTTGTGATGAGTCTGGTAGCCTTTTTACCGGCAGCACTAAAACATGGAATCCGGAATCCGGAAACGGAAACGGAATCATGGAAACGGAAACGGAAACGGATACGGAATCTGTGAAAGAAGGTTCCAAGCGATCGATTTGAAAAAATATATATTAGCAATGACAATAAAATAAATAAACAGATAAAAAAAAAGACACAAATGAATAAATTAGCTGAGAACAGAAGAGGAGACTGCTGTATCACTAGAGGAGTCGATTCCGGTGAAAAGACGCTTGATACCACTATTGGCAATAAATGCAAATTCTCATGGGACAGCAAAGCGATGAGAAAAACGTTACTGACAAAAACTAGTGCCATTTTAGAAAAAGGTAAGTTATATGGAGACAGACTTCGTTTGAATCGTCAGAGGCGTCGTTTATATAACTGAAAGGCGTCGCCGTCAAGTTTTTCTTAGTGTCTTTTCTGGGTTGTCTTCAACAGTGTTCAGTTTTATTTATCAAGACAACTTACTCAAGAGAACCATGGCATTGTGGAGTCCAAAGAGAAGAGAGAATTGTGCATGCATTTGCTTGATTCCGCAACCGATTACATCAAAATAATGCGCCATGTTTAATAAGCCTCTTCAACAAAAATACGGACGTCCACGTAAACTCAATTACCGGTACACCAGTATTCCATCAGTATTCAGCTTGGCGAAAAAGTTGAACTTATTGCTAAAACACCGGAACTGTGGTCACGTCACCGGTCGGTCATGTTTGGCGTATTCAGTTTGGGGACAATCACGTGGTGTGGTCTGAGGCTAACTACTACTATTCTTGACAATTAGCCACAAAAGTAATATTTCACTGTATTATTCAACCCATGAACTTGTGAATAAAAATTACTCGTAAAATTACTTTGATCGGCCTTGCAGTGCAGTAACCCACACTACGGCAAACCTTATCAAGACACAATAACAAGAATATACCGTAAATTTCTGAAAATAAGCCCAGGGGCTTATATTTTTCAAAGGCCCTTTTTGGGGGGCTTATTTTTGGAGGGGCTTATACATGGAGGGGCTTATTTTCGGAATTTTACGGTATTTAAGGGAACTGCCAAGAAAACTAAGACAAATTCTCTTTGGATTGTACTAAATTGTGTAATGTGAAATTCTTTAATTTTCTATCATTGATATTTGATTCCGTATTCCGTTTCTGTTTCCGTTTCCGTTTCCGTGATTCCGTTTCCGGATTCCGGATTCCGGATTCCGTCCTTTAGTGCTGCCCCCTTTTTACACTTTGTACCCTGTACCCGCTCAAAGTTGCAGTGGCTTATGGTGCCATCCAAGACTTACTGAGATACTGAAACCTTTGTTTTAGCCTGCACAACTGGCGTTTTATGAGCCAAGCGAGGCGAACACGGCATTTCGTGCCAATTGCGTTCGCCTCGGTTGGCTCATAAAGGGCCTGTTATGCAGGAAGAAGCGAGAACTTGTAGAAAGACGTTTGAAATTCTGAGAGCGAAACAAACGTGCGAAGAAAGAATTTCTGTCCTGTACACCCTAAATGAGCCCAGAATCAGCAATTTATACCCTTCAGCGGGACTAATTGGGCCGTCCTGTAAAGAGATGACTATGAAAGATGCATGTATCAGACTCATCAGAGAAAATGGGAAAACCACTAGCAGGTACAAAATAAAAGTCACAAGTGCAGGTCACTGCTCTATTGATAAATAACTGAGATAAGCAGTTTCCCCTTAAGCTAAAACTCTATTTCGGATTGTGATCAGGACCGGGAGACACTTTTACTTTTTACTTGTACTCTAGCCCGCCTTTGTTACCTGTGACCTGCATTTTGTAGCTGCCGGAAATGAGCAAAGTTCTGACTTAATTGGAGATCCTGTATGTTTTATTTGAATACCCATAGTGACCTAGTCCGCGCAAGCAGGGAGTGTCTTTTTTTTTAACCTACTTCGAAGGTATTCGAATATCATGTGTATATTTCGCGTGTGTGACATCAATGTCTCCTTCGAAGTAGCCAAAAGATCCCTATTTCATTTTTAGATAAATTACTGAGCCTGAGATGCGTCTTGTCGGCGGCGGCTTTCATAACAGCTCCAAAGGTTTATGTAAGCATGCTGTCTTGCAATCAATTGCTGGCGCGCGCGTAGCTGCCTGCCATTAAGCCTGGGCTTAAGTTCAAAGAAAGTAAGTTTATTATATTGAAGCCCAGGGAACTATTAAAGCGAAGCTGAAATCAAGAAATTTCGTAGTTTAATACGCGGGAGTTTGGCTGTAGAAACTTGGAATTGCTTGATCCCTCTGAAATTGCCTAGAACAAGTGCCTAGAACATGAATTACAACACTTTAACCTCTTCATATATCATGGGTTATAGGTGGGTTACGGTAAGCTCATAAAATGGACTCAACTGATAACAGCTGCCAGTGGTGCCCTGTACGCTGACATCCGAGCTTACTGTTGTGGAGAGAACAGATTTCAGTATGTATACTGATGTAAGGGGTTAACTGGAAATATATTGTTTTGTCCTCTACAGGAGATCAAAAACATGATGCTAGACCTCTGCCCCTGACCTGTGCATTAGTTTCAGTGCTTGCCGGGAAGTCTGTGAAAACAGGCGACATTTGGCGGCAAATCACTGTCACTAGCTGTCACTACGGAAGCCCCGGCCCCCGGAGAGGAAACTTGCTGCTAGGTTGTTTGATATAACGAGTGAAATCAAAGTTTTGACAAACATCTGTTCAAAATGCACTGTATTTATGTTGGCAGAGAGAAGTAGACAAACTTCAATGACAAAAAACTTTTCATGTATGTTCTAATTGCCTTGAATTTAATAGTCATCAGCAGGGGACATCAATGACCTGGTCGTCCGCAAATGGTTCGTATACTTGCTTTTTCGACGTCGTCGCTGTTGCCTCGCTGTTGGTATTTGTATACAGGTAAGCCTTTTGTAGTATAAGAATTGATATAATTTTTGGAGTTGGTGTACGCCGCCCAAATTGAACGAAAGTATCATGAGGGTCCTAAAAGAAACTTAAAGTAGGCTTCTGGTTAGGAATTTGGTTTCCCCTGTTCATTTAAGCTACTTACTAATTCATGCATTGTAAAAGGAATCTGACCTATAAATAAGAAGGGAAGGCTGGTGGGCTTCAAAACTCCAATATTTTAAAACACGAGAGAGATAGTCCGAGAAGTCAGAGAAGACGTAGGCTGTATAGAGCAGGCGCGGATCTAGGATAAATACTGGCCGATTTTCTAAACGAGCGCAAAAGGCGAAGGCAGGCTCCCCCGGGAAATTTTTCGCATTTCAACCCCTTAAAGTCCCCCTTCCTGGGTTTCCGAGTCTTTCCGACAGGATATTGGCCAGGTTTCAACTTGGAAAGTGTGTTTTATCATTAAAAATATATTTATTATGCAAAAATCTGACCGATTTCCGTAAAGCGGTGGAAGCAGGTGTAGATCCGTACCAGTAGAGGATCCTACACAATATCAAATTACACAACTGAATTGCACTTATCACTGGAATCCCCCATCCACCCACCAATTATAGACAAACAGTAGGCACCCGGGAGTAGGCATAGGGCGCGATCCATTCAACCAAACTTTCCGGAAATTTCGGTCCAAAACTCAATGGATCAGCTCAGTCCAACCGGAAAAGTTTCGAAAAAACGGGTCCACCTTTTGAGGTGGTCCTCTTTTCCCGGTCGGACCGGTTGGAATTTTGGTTGAATGGATCGCGCCCATAAGTGGGGGCTTTCATGGGGCTTGGGTAGTTTACTTCTGCTTTAGGGGATGAGGAGTACACTAGTTAAGTGATTTAACTTGCTTGACAAGTACTTTTTCTTTCCCTTAGCTGGCCCCTGTTGTTCAAATGTTGAATAGCGCTATCTATCGGATAGCCTGCGAGGCCGGAAATCAGATTAGCTTCACTTTAAGTAGGAAACGAAAATTTCATTTGAGCATAGTAATAAAAGTCGTTCTGCTGTACACCATTTGGTTTTGCTCAGTGACTAGCTGTTACCCCATCTTTCCCCCGGGTGGAAGGATGATGGTTTCAGTAATAAGTGCTTGATAATTCTTACCTCATTCTCTTTCCTACAAAGTTGTGAAAGAGGCCTCATCTTTATTGGTTGAGTCAAAGGCTCAAGTTAAAAACTTTTCCTGAGAGGAATGAATATTGCTCTTTCTTTGGAACAACACAATACCTAAACTAGGTACCTTGCAATCTACTTGTCCTTTTCTTAATGGCATGAAATGTTAACATCAGCAGTATCTTTTTACATAATATTGCCAAGTAAAAAATGTCACCCCCTATCATCATGTTTCAATTTTCTTGCCCTTGATAACCACCTCGCACTACTAGTAAAATGGGTAACCTGTGACCTGCTCAACTTCATCCCCAGGGCTTTTCACATACAGAAAGCCCTGCATGGGTACGAGGTGGTGGTAGTGGGGGGGGGGGGGGGGGGGGCTTTTTTTAATTTTAAAAAACAACACCGGGGGGCTTTTTCCTGGTTTTTTTTTTAAAAATAAAATTCATAAAATAAGATATGTGATACCTTTTTTTTTTTTTTTTATTTTAACATTTACCAAAAGGAGTGGCCCCTATTGGTTCAACAATCTGTACGCACCCGCTCCCCCTTATCATTTCGTTCCGAGATAGAGACACGCCCATGTCTCCCCGTGTCCACCGGTAGTGGGCTCATGAGAGTCGCAGGGGTGGGTGGTGGTGGGGGGGGAGGGGGGGGCCGGCGAGGGTACTTTCTTCATATTAAATCACCTACAGCTGTGGCTTCTTCGCTGGTTTTTATATGACAGTAATAATGCTCAAATGACAGTTATTGATCATCCTTTCTTAGTTTTCAGATTAACAATGTGCAAGAGGGTCTGGTCCTGATTGCTCAAGCAACTGGCAGAGCCTGCCTCCTCATATAGCACAACAAAATTTTTACGAGGAAGGCAAGCAAGGCATGAACTGAGCCAGCCCAGTAAAGCAAGCCTGCAGCCCGGTTAACCAGGCTGGCTCACCCATTTAAGCATGCCCTTAGTTGTTAATATCAGTTCAGTTTTAACCATGTGTGTAACTTAGCACTTTGACCTAGCCCCACTCCATAAATGAATAGTTCCTCAAATCACAAATGTCATTATTATTTTTTTAATTATTATAATATTCTTGCAGGTTTTTCAAACGTGAAAAGGATTAAGAGCAGAGGAGGCTGTTAGATTATAAGCAATGAAAGTACAATCAGCTGATACCTTTGTCCAGGATTGCATGGTAAGCCAGCTAACTAGCCAATTAAACTATCATACTGTTTCACCAGCATACCCAGCAAAAACTAACCCATGTACCCCCCAGGGATTTTTCATTTGACATCTTAGAGTAAGTTGCTTCATTTGTCCAGCTGGTTTAAGAGGCTACGTCTTGAGGATATTGCCATTTTAGGTCAATTCTTTGGTACCGTCACTGACTTGGTGGCTTTACCCATACACAAAATATATTCTGTTAGAGATATGAAGTAGCAACAGTGGTTTCATTATTAGCACTGACAAACGACGAAATGTGTCAGCTACATTTCTCAGAAAAGTTGGCTACTTTTTTCCCCAAAGAAGCAATTAGTTTGAATAATGTCATGGACAAAAATACAAGTTGTTCAAGTAAAAATGTATGTAACTTTTAAATTACATACAGTATCATTTGTTATGTAATCATTATGATTTGTTACATGTAAGTTACATAAATTATATCGTTTGTTCATTGCTTGTAGGAGTTAATTGTGTCAGTAATAAATCAAAATTTGACTGAAAGCCAAATCAGTTCTTGAATTAGAAACACGCTCTTTTATACTCAGTTTAGTCCCCTGAGCGCGGGCAATCACTTTTTAGGAACTGGCAATTTTAAAATTTTCTGAGGGAGCATACTTGCCCCTTGTTGGTACAGTACTGTTGGTTACTCTATTCAATCCTGCTGGCTACTTCAGTTTCTATTGAAACCCCTGAAGGTCAAACAAATTTCATCAGAAAGCGCTTATCATAATAATTCTTTGTTCGATTTTTTGTAGCATTTCTTTTCAGAATCTAAAACAAGGGATACAGTTATAAAAGTTTTATCAAATTGACCCCTAAAGAGGGCTGGTCTGGCCAGCCGAAAATCGTGCGAAAACGGTTTTCAATACATGTTGTTAGCAGCTTTGCAGTAGCCTTTGGACTTGTAGTTTATTTGTTCTCAATATTTTTATTTTTAGCGGATTAGATCTCTTTTAAAAGTAACAGTCATCATAGGTGACCTCTTTTACACGGGGCACCTCTCTATTACGAACATTTCCCTCTGTTCCTACGGTGTCCGTATTAGAGAGGTTCGACTGTACTGGTCAAAACATTCCCCGCGCTTTTTCTCTTCATACGCGCGCACAACCATCTCTAAAGGTAAAACAGGTCTTAGTGAGGAGGTTGGTTATTATAAAGGCCAAGTGAAAATAGTTTGGGCAGAGCTCCAGCAAAAGCCACAGAGTTTCTAAAAGAGAAAAATTCCTTTACAGTGATTCTTTGCCGTGGGCCAGAATTAAGAGAATTCTAGAGCTGCCTGAGAAACATGAAACAAATGTTTTGCGCGCGAAGCTCCGCGATCGCGATAGTTGATCAAACATAGTCATGGTACTATTAAATAGTTGGTTATTGCTTTTTCTAATGTGGTGGCTCCTAAAAGAGCCGTTTGTTTGTAAGAAGTATCGCACTTTACTTCTTAGTAGGCTTTTTGGCGGCAGATTTCTTGGTGGGCTTTTTGGCGGCAGGCTTCTTTGCGGGTGCCTTCTTCGCAGCTTTCTTGGCCGCTGGTTTCTTTGCTGCCGGCTTTTTCGCTGCCGATTTCTTGGGCTTCTTACTTGGTGATTTCGTCGCAGTCTTCTTTTTAGCCGCTGGCTTCTTTGCTGCGGGTTTTTTAGCCGCTGGTTTCTTTGCTACCTTCTTGGCGGCGGGCTTCTTTGGCTTCTTCGCTGGTTTTTTCTCTTTCTTTTCCTCCTTGGCCACCTTGAAGGACCCAGATGCGCCAACACCTTTGGTGTGTAGCAACTTTCCACTGGCAGCACCTCTCTTGAGAGCCATCTTCAAGTGTGAGCCGACCTCACCAACCTTGTAGTTGGCTTTGATGTACTTCTCGATGGCTTGGCGCGAAGAACCGTTTCGCTCTTTCAGAGCGACGATGGAAGCCTTGATCATTTCAAGATATGGTGGATGCTCAGCTGGCTTTTTAGGCGCAGCTGGCTTCTTTTTAGACGGTGACTTTGCTTCAGACATGACGAAGAAGTTTGATCGATACCTTCGGAAACGATAGAAATGAACACTCGAAGGTCGGACAGTGATGTATATGAGGTCTATGCGGACCACTGAGGAGACAGCAATCGAACATGGCGCACGATGATTCTGTGCTAGTTTACGGAAAATTTCGACGAATAAAGTGACGAAACACCGTAGTTTATTCCTTCTAAAGTGTAAAAACTAAAATAAATTGATCAAAGATTTATTTTCCAAACGTACGTGCGAATTAAGGCATTTGTAGGAAGAGGTGGATAGCTTTTTATTCTTTAACTCCATAGAATCTTGTTCGTATTTCATCTGTAAAGTCCTTTATCTTTTGCGCTTGATACTTCCTTTCTCTTTTGAGACATTTACAAGATGATATAACTCCCATACTTCAATCATCTGTCTTTAATTTCTACAATCTGCTTCATTTAGTATGATTTAAATTCTCTTTCGTCAAGAGAACAAGGACAAACTCCTTGGCCGCCATTTGCAAGATCAAGATGACCGTGCACAGAAGAACATCAAAAAAACGGTCTCCAAGCATTCTGCTTTCAGAGTTGTTATTAGTTGCGACTAAAGAACTGCACATTTCTTTTCCTTTCCTATGAAGATGTTAAATATAAACTAGTAGTTTTCTGGCTAATAATGCAGTGGATTGAACATGGAGCTGAATTAAGCTTTCCAAAGCTGTCAGAGCTTCTTAAATCACCCTTAAGTCACCCACCAACTCAATTCTCACAAACACTCTTCGTCCTGAAGGGTTTTTTATCTTCATGTGTTTCTTTACTGCCTTTTCTTATGCAATACTCATTAAGCTAAATGGAAATCTCTTTAAAAACACATTAAAGCAAAAATCAAAAGTAAACTGAACTAGTTCTGTTGAGGGAGAATCCTTATGATTTGCCTAAACTTTGCGCCAAATGTATTCCACAAATTTCGATTGGGCTTAAAGAAAGTCTTTCAACTTATACAGTTTTCCCTAAAATTTGCATCTTTTATACCTTTATCTTGTAATTATTTACGTATTATTTCCTTTTTCTGCATAAACGTGAAGCTACTTTGATAAAGGTTAAAAGCGCGCGGCGTTGCGAATAATGACAGTAATTTGCATACATTTTCCGCCAAAATGTATTCCCACGCTCTTTTAGGCCGAACGCTTATAAATCCTTTAACATCTACCTCAGTTTCCCCAAAATCTTTTAATGCAAATTTGAATTTTAATATCCTGGTTCCAGAGATTCTTCTCTCCTTTCTCCCATGAATTTGGACCTTTCTATATAAGGTTGCGTCCAACGCGCGTGAGTTGCAGAGTACGTTGCGCCACTGTATTTCACGAAGTCAACGTTCTTTTACGCTCACTGCGCTAATAAAGATCGTTAACTTCCATCTCAGCGTTCTCCTTCAACTTAAACCCTTAGCTTCAAAGTTTCCTCTGTTAAACCCAAAGGTTTTGTTTTTCGTTTTACGAGTGAAGAAAATCTCTCTCTCTCTCTCTTTCGTGTGGCCACTTTACGGAAAGGAAGCAAAAGCTTTGTGTAATGGTGAAATGGAAAGGTCGCTAACGTTTTCTAAGTCGTTTCGCTAACCTCTTGTTAATCACTTCTTGGAGTCGCTCTGAACAAAATTTCCTCTGTGAAATAGGCCAGCGGAAAGAAGATTCTTACTTGAGAAAAATAACGTCGTGCACGAATTTTATGGGATGAAATACCTCATTCAATACAGCTGATCACTAAACTCTTTCCTTACAGTCAAATACTTTGTGGACTCTAGTGCGAACGTTTTGAGTCAACACGTCAGCGAAACCAGACCGGTCATCATTTCACTCTCTGGCCACATAAGCTCTATTAGCTTTACAATTTAAAACTGTGTTTGAAAAAAAATGTACAGCCACACAAATTCTCTCTGTTGCTTTGTTGCCTTTTCTTTGACCTATCTCTTTGCCGGCGGTGACAGGCCCTAAGTTATGAGGCTGAAGTTTCCCTTCCTGAAAAACTTAGCAATTTTAAGTTCCTCTTTCCTTCTTGTTAATACTCATGAAACTAAATAAGATTTAAAACAACTCTAGTCGATGTATGAAAACTTCAAAGTTCTCGCTTTGTCTGTGTGGTTGTACCTAAAGAATTATGAAGTAAGGTTGAGCACAAAATGTGTTGCTGTCGGTTATTGCTTTTATTGATGTGGTGGCTCCTAAAAGAGCCGTTTGTTTTGTGGTGCAAGCAGTTCACTTATGCTCGCTCTCCGCGGATTCGGCGGGCCAACTGAATGTCCTTTGGCATGATGGTGACGCGCTTGGCATGGATGGCGCACAAGTTGGTATCTTCAAAGAGGCCAACCAGGTAAGCTTCGCTAGCTTCTTGAAGAGCCATCACAGCAGAGCTCTGGAAACGCAGGTCGGTCTTAAAATCTTGAGCGATTTCTCGCACAAGACGTTGGAAGGGCAGCTTGCGGATGAGCAGCTCGGTAGATTTCTGGTACCGACGGATCTCACGAAGAGCGACTGTACCAGGCCTGTAACGATGAGGTTTCTTGACTCCTCCAGTGGCAGGCGCGCTCTTACGAGCTGCCTTTGTGGCGAGCTGTTTTCGTGGAGCTTTGCCACCAGTTGATTTACGAGCAGTTTGTTTTGTACGTGCCATCTTCAATTCTAACCGAAAATCGACGGGAATGGTGAAAGATTTTCTAAACAATAATTTTATACTTAGCGGGCTTCCTTCCGATTGGTCAAAAACTATGCGATTTCATTGGACAACCAGTACTACGAGTAAAATATTGTCATTTACCCGTGTTGTTGTGTTTCTATCCGAAGATTTTTACCAATTCATTGGATTAATGGGAATTGGAAATACAAATTTTTCGTCCAAAATAATTAGAAAGTATCATACTAAAAGCAGTCGAAGAGTGATGTGGCAGGTTTTTTAGTGACTCCGACTTTTATTTTCTCTTTTAATCTGTTCGCACTTCTCTTGCGAAGCATAAGTATGGTAATAATTACCCTGACCTCTTGGCTCTTTTGTCCGTACTAACCAAGAGAGAAGCACATCTTATTATTTCTTCTGGGGTGTTTTCAGTGAGGTCATTCTTTGCGGTATAAATTCTATGAGATTCGTTGGTCAAGGTATTTTAGTCAGTTTCCTACAAAGCTAACAACATGTCTGGTCGAGGCAAAGGAGGCAAAGGTCTAGGAAAAGGAGGCGCCAAGCGTCACCGAAAGATCCTGCGTGACAACATCCAAGGCATCACCAAGCCAGCTATCCGTCGTCTTGCACGCCGTGGCGGTGTCAAGCGAATCTCTGGTCTGATCTACGAAGAGACTCGTGGTGTTCTCAAGGTTTTCCTAGAGAATGTAATCCGTGATGCTGTGACCTACACCGAGCACGCCAAGCGCAAGACTGTGACCGCCATGGATGTGGTGTACGCACTCAAACGCCAGGGACGTACTCTGTACGGATTTGGCGGTTAGATCTTCACGCTACACTCTCAAACCAACGGCTCTTTTAGGAGCCACCATATCTTTGAAAGTCATTGCCAATAAAGTTTAGTCCTATCAAAATCAACTTTGATGGCGAGGTTAAATAGAGATCGGCTTGCAGTAGTGAAAGCCTAACTTTGGCTTTAGCTGGAAGGTCTAGTTTCACAAGTTCGTTATTCGCCTTGTGACCTATAAAGCTAACATAACAGGAGAATATAATTTTGGAAAGCTATTTGTGTGAGGAATAGACTTCGAAATTTTCGCGCGATTTTAACGGTCAACTGAATTTTAAAAAATTGGCGCCAAGGCAGGAGCCTTCTGTTTTCAACAGTGAACGATTTCTAAGAAAGAATACAGCAGTTCCTTCGCCAGGAGGAAACGTCCCTTACCCCGAGGAGCTAGGAGAAACGGCTGTTTCCGTAGGCTAAGTATTGTTCTGATTAAAAAGAGAAATGGTGACCATAAAGTTTACCAGACCCCCTTCACTTTTCTTATAGAGTCAAACCTGCGTGGCAGGCGTTAGAAAGGCAAGGGAAGACCGCGCGCTTCTTGCGCGCCCGAAATTCACTTCCCTTTCAAACGCCTTCCACGCAGGCTCTTGAAGTCAAACTCCGTTAATACGGACACAGAGGGGGCCATAGAAAGTGTCCGTAAATATAAAGCGGGTTTTCTTTCCCCAGGGAAAAGGCAAACTGTCCATTATATCATTATAATGAGGTGTTTGAATGAAGCGTAGCCTGCGGGGAGCAGACGCATTTTTCGGCTCTTGCTTCACGCGGGGTTTGAATGTAGTTCCACCCCTCTCTCACAGTATTTTTTAAAATGTAAGTGGCCTTTCTCGTACCCATTCTGGTGGCCTGTAGTTTAGCTAATTTTAGGGATAAAGAGTTACTTAAAATTTGTGTATCATCGAACCAGTACTCGATAGCTCGTTTGCCGTCAGCATTCAACCTGCATGTCTTAAAAGGAAGGATTGTAAAAAAATAAATTGCAACACCCATGCATGATACTATGGAAAGCAACTCTGTTGATCATGACTTTTATCATATTTGGTGGCTCCTAAAAGAGCCGTTTGTTTTTGACGCCGGGTGGAACTGTTTAAGCTTTTGGCTTCTTCTCTGTCTTCTTGGGTAGAAGAACAGCCTGGATGTTGGGAAGAACACCTCCTTGTGCGATGGTGACGCCGGCGAGCAGCTTGTTCAACTCTTCATCGTTGCGGACAGCAAGCTGAAGATGACGGGGAATTATTCTGGTCTTCTTGTTGTCACGAGCAGCGTTGCCCGCCAACTCGAGGATCTCAGCGCTCAAATACTCGAGCACTGCAGCCAAGTAGACTGGAGCACCAGCGCCAACACGCTCAGCATAGTTGCCTTTACGAAGAAGACGATGGATTCGACCAACAGGGAACTGAAGCCCTGCTCGGGATGATCGGCTCTTGGACTTGGTGCCCTTTGCTTTTCCTTTACCGCGACCAGACATGTTTACAAGACTTGCGTTTAGCACGAAATAGAGCTAGTGAAATACTTCAAAGTTCCCTGAAAGCAAATTTATACGCGCGGAAAAATTTGAATAGGATCAAAACGCACCAATCAGGCGAAAAAATTTAAGTGGATCATGAAATATGATGATGTATGCAAGAAGGTTGTTGACCTTAAAAAAGAGAAACCAATGAAAACTCAAAGATTTCGATCCGTATGTTAATTGATCCTGGTTTTGTTATAAATACAATATTCAGCAAGTGTGAATCACTTACTTCCATTCTGATCAACAGATATGGCACCTAAAGTTGCAGGAAAGAAAGGCGAGAAGAGAGCTGGCAAGGCCAAGGCTCCATCTGATGGAAAGAAGAAGAGAAGAGGAAAGAGGAAGGAAAGCTATGCGATCTACATCTACAAAGTGTTGAAGCAAGTTCACCCTGACACTGGTATCTCCAGCAAAGCCATGGGTATCATGAACTCGTTTGTCAACGACATCTTCGAGCGCATCGCTACTGAAGCTTCGCGCCTTGCCCACTACAACAAGAAATCAACTATCAGTTCTCGCGAGATCCAGACCGCCATCAGGCTGCTTCTGCCCGGTGAACTGGCCAAACATGCTGTCAGTGAAGGAACCAAGGCTGTGACCAAGTACACCAGCAGCAAGTAAACTCACTTTGTGGGTTTACCGCCAAAACAAACGGCTCTTTTAGGAGCCACCAAATGTAGTAAAATTCATAACCAATTCTATTATTATTTTACCCATTACCGCCGCAATGAAACTGCTTATCGTCCTTCTATGATGTCTGTAGATTTAAGATATAAGCCGGCTAAAGGAATATTAGGGCCATTTATACGAGGAAAAATAAGACGCGAACTTTCCGTATAAACGGCACATTTCGTCTAAAATAAGACGCGTCTTATTAGATAAGACATGCTCGTATAAATGGTACAGTTCGCGTCTTATTTAAGACGCGTCTTATTTTTCCTCGTATAAATGGCCCTATTGTGTTTTTAAAAATCGCAAACGTACAAACGCTTTCATACATCCATCGTAAAATTGCAGCAGGGGATGAAACAACTGACAGAAAAAGAAATGTTGGCAAATTTTGGGACCCTCGTTCCCTTGCCTGAACATACAGCAGAGCATCGGTAACTGGCCGTTTTTCATTTTTTTCCGCCGCCTTCTCAAATTTCTCAAAATTTAGGAGCCGTTATAGTATTCCCTTTCAGTTTAGCTCTGGCTCTGAGGAAGGCTAATTTTGTTTGCCGAAATGTTGACCTCAAATAAATCAGCCCTTTGCCGTATAAACGTATTGCCAGCCTTGCATTCAGTTTTTTAATTCCCCCTTCAAGTGACTCTCTACATTAGAGGTCCGGCAAGATAGAACCAGTGGGTTTTATTTACGCGCTGAGTGGACCTCTGCATTCAAGAGTTTTTACTATCTTACAACGCGCAGATCGCCATTTGCACATCTCCCATAATGCACCTTATTTGCCCCGCAAAATTTTGCATAAGCATGAGCACTGTTTTCAATTTCTCTTGGGACAGCTGTAATACCCAAATGAAAAACAAACGTTATGCAAAATTTAGGGTGTAGAGTAGCCCGGGGTAGGTAGCCCGCATAACAGGCGCGTTTTGAGTAGCCTGCGCTGCAGACACTTTAAACCTTCACTTTATAGCAGACCATATCAATACCATACGCGATACGTAATTCGGCTGCACTGCAAGCTAGTTATGAGCCAAGCGAGGCAAACGCTGCATTTCGCGCAAACCGCGAGACAAGGGTGGCCCGTGCGGCCCTCGCGGTTCGCGCGAAATGCTGCGTTCTCCTTGCTTGGCTCATAACGCGCCTGTTATGCAGGCAAGAGTGTACGCTGCAGTAATAGAAGTTCACATTCCATTACAAATCAAGGAGATAAAAAAAAAAACAAAAGTATAAAATATATCAAGTTAAAACTTGTTCTGCGGTATTTTTTATTGAAAAAGATCATAAACAAAAGCATTTTTAAAACTATTTTGGTACTCCCAGGCCACAGATAAGGCACAGTGAACAAGTTTATTTTCCCCTGAAACATATTATCCCTTTCAATTACAAAAACTCAAGGCTGTCTTGTGCTGGATGGGAATTATATCAGTACAGAGGACTAGATATTTACTTTTACATTGTATGCTTGGGGCCTAGTAGTAGATGATACACATTAAAACCACAGAAGAAGCATCAACTAAACATCTTACTCATACATCTGTTTTACTTTAGTCTCTAAAATAATGTTGAGATGAAATCTGTTTTCTTGGTCACTGGTGTAGAGTAATTTTAGTTTGCTTCATGTTTCAGTGTGTTCATTGAATTGGATCTACTATAAAATGTAAAGTGTGCATCCCACAGGGTACATTCAAGTATCCTCCAAACAAGTAAGAGGGGTGAAGGTCCAATCTGAAATTTTAAGTGCGAAAAGAGAAAGAGCCCGAGACAGCAGCCAACATTTTGCAATGCCACGACAGGTTATCCATGAAATGGCGTCTGAGAAAAGAGCACAGAAATTCCATACTGATGATACAACACTATCCAGATCAAACCCCGGTTGTTAAGATGTTGGATAGCGCTACCCACTGGATCCAGCAGATAAATATTAGGGAAACCAATAATTATTGTGCTATCCACTGGATAGAGATTTATCTAGTGGATAGAATTATCTACCTTTCGAACAACTGGGACCAGGGTAGTGAAACGTCAGCAGTATGGAATTTCTATGCTGGATGTCATTTTGTGGAGAATCCAATGGTGGCATTGCAGAATGTTTGCTGTTTTTTCAGGCTGCCAGAGAGACAAGGATTTTGTTTTTCTGGTCTTGTTCTTTGGCTTTAATTCCAGCTGGTGGTGAGGATAACCTTGTATGTTAAGAGAGTACCAAAATTGATCCATATTCTTTAGGCATTTATTGTATAAACTTTAGACCTCATTTGACCCTCTCTTCCTGGTAAGGAAAACATTTGATTGTACCTGATGTGATGGGTGTACTTAGAGAACAAATACTAATAAAAAAAAGTTTAGCCAGAAAACTGCATTAAAGTTGAATTTGTCAAAGCCTCTACATTCCATTTATACAATAAGGTTCCTAACGCGGCCAATATGTTTTGTTTTTGACTGCTGCAATAAATTATTTGAGGACAAAACTCTGGAAACAGTCATATAAAGTCACTTCACTGAGACATTGACACTAACAGTTGCAAGGAGGTGTTTGTGAACTGTTTTTGGTAGGTTTTAATCAAATTTTTTCAGTCACCGTTTCCATGTTTGTTGCCTTTGTAAGATTGACAGCAGCATAAAAAATTTCAACCTTAACTATGCTTTGAACTGGGTAGTTGCATGTGTTGCAAAGGCACAGCAGGTTGGGATGTATATTACAGATATGTTTATTTATGGGTCTATAGTTTTAGGCTTTGTTTTGAGCTGCCTCTTTTCTTGTTGCATCCTGTAGTAGTGAAGTATCAACTTCTTCTGCTGGAAGCTGAACATATCTTACAACTGATCCTCTGATAAAGCAATTCTTTACAGACAACTGTTGATAAAAGTCATGAAAACAGTAAGGTTAGCAACAAGAATTCATACATGACTAAACTAAGTTAAAATAGGCAAGGGAAACAAAAAATTTCTATCTAGTGATACTTCCCATAATTTTATTACGTACAGGGATGCAGGGATGCCACTAAGATTTCAAGTTGCCGGGTAAATACAAGTAGGCAGGGAATAAAACAGCTAGGGATTTCCTTTGGTTCTATTTTTCTCTCTATTTTCCTATGAAAGTAACTAAGGGCCACGTTCATAGAAGCCGGGGGAAACCCCTGGCCCCTGCCTCTTCATGACAGTGCTGCAGGGATGTAATAATATTATTTTTCAAATACCTAGTCTGCCCCACAGATTGAACTAAACTTCTGTTTAAGTACGTTGGTGAAACAGTGCCGAAATCATACATTTATACTGATTTGTTCTTGTGGGACGTAAAAGAACCCTCGTCACTATTTGAAAAGAGTAGGGGTCATTAACCCTGGTGGTGTGGCCAACCTTTACGGGGTTGTGGGATTGGGTCTGGATGGCTCCTCGCATGGGACCTGAGTCCCGTTCGTGCACATTCCTTCTGGGCAGGCCTGTGTCTAGAAAAGCTGGTAAATAAATAGAAATCATCATTCTGTACCCCCACCTGCATACCAGGATTTGAGTAAATGCCATGATTGGCGGCACGTTTAAAATGCCATTGTCAATTTGCCAAACAGGCTGAAGGAAAATTCGAAAGGCATTACTGGTAATTCACTGAGTCCACTGGGGACTGCTGCTTTACAGACGTTACTAAACAGAGTTAGATTAAATCTGCAAGACAGCCTACAAATACCCTAGGCAGTAAAAAGAGAAAGCAGGCTCAAGGGGGTTTAATAATTATTCTTGTGCTGCCAGTGTACTGCATTTCTACTATAGTATCTGGGACTCACATTTGTAATGTCTAGACAGGATCCCTGGTCCCAAGCCCTTGACTACAGCGCGGATGTATTATTTGTACTCAATGGAAGAATGCACCCGAAACTCAGCTTTCCTGTGGCTTCACAGGCAAACAAACTGAGGTAACAGCCATCTGCCATAACCCTTTCTCCTTTTTAGGGGGAATTTACAGACCATTAAATTATTGTTAAGAACTTACTACCAGGCCAGAAAACTGGTTACTACTCCTGCAAATCTCAGACAAACATGATGTATTAATAAAATCAATCATCACTTTGTTAATAGGCCTTACCATATGAGGGTATTTGTCTGGGTCTGTGAGACTTATGTCGGTGAGTTTGATGTTCAGAAACTGGACAAAAATAAAATAATAAAAGGAAAGGTTTAATTGATCAGCAGAGGTTTAGTAATGCATAAGCAAGAAAAAATTAATGCTAAAAACAAGCAATGTTTCAGAGTATTTATGTATGATACCATTATCAAGTTCAAAATGATTAGAATAAACTGTGAGATTATGAAATAGTTTGCTTAAGATTCACATTATTATTCTGGAATGAGAGACAGGACTATAAACACCATCTCTTGATGTCCAAACAGGCACAGAACAGACACTAATGGGTACTGTGTTACATGTATAATGTACAACAGATTCAGTTTCAAAGACAGCAGAACTTAGTTTCCTTAGTGTAACAAGGGGCACCTACTTGATCCACAGAGTCCAGTGTTCCATGCACACTGAAAATGAAAGTATGAAAAAACTTAAACATTTTTTTTTATATTGACTACAGTCCATTGGGTGGTTTGTTAGAATCTGAAACATGGCATTTCCTAGAGCATGACCAATAGCTCCAGACTAATAAATTTTGGCACAAACGTTGCTTCAATAGTCTGGACATCAGGATATCTAGGGGAAATTGTCAACTTTACTCTGCCCATTTTACTATCCCCCTGGTTGGCCTGGGGTCCTACCACACGGGGAAGCCGATGACATGTGCATAATGTACACAAAAACTATAGGTACCCCAACCCCACGTATGCTTCAGTGCTTTTATGCATCATTGATTGTATGCTGCACACTTGCTACCTACTAGGTAAATGTATCCCCCTAACAACGCTCTCGAGAACTATATAGAGTTACGAGATAACTTGGGTGCTACATACATATAAATTTCAGGCAAGCTTAAGTTCAATTAGCGAACGCGAAACTTTGTTGTACCATACCTGAGGTCATTTTTCAGTTCTACAATAACTTCTTTTCCAACCAGGGACTTGAAAAACGAGTAGAATAGCTAGAAAAGATGGTTACAAGCATAAGTTTTCATCGATATTGCAAGAGAACCACGAAATATTAACGAAAATACGTATGTCCAACGCTCACCATCTTGGAAAGCCTTCAGAAAATCAAAATGGCGGCAAAAACCGCTGACCAATTATTTACCCAAGGGGTATTATGGGATACAACAGGTGAAAATATGGAACACATACACGTAGTACTTACCTGCGCAAGTTAAAAAATTTCATACCTGTCTTTAAAGAGTTTCGCCAAAGTTTTGAACGTTTTATTTTTATTATGCAAGGAGTAGAAGCTGTAAACAGTTTAGGACCTGCTCAGCACGGTTTTAGTCCTTACACCTTTAATGGAGGGTAAGTGAAAATGGAGTAAGATGTTATTTTTTGTGACATTGTTGTACATGAGTCAGCAAAAGATTCCAACATGTGCTGTGGCGTAGTCTTAAAAATTCCTTGTCTAGCCATAGCTATACATTTGTTTTACTGTCGTACAGTTTTTCTAAAACATTCAAGTCTGTTCCACAGTCTGACTTCTCGTCGATGTTTCTTGGTGTGCAAGGTAAATTGGTGGCACTTACTAATTTCAAGCATGATACAACATGATTCAATCGCAACCTTACTCTAAAGATACGCGTTTAATCCTGGCTATTTTAAATTCCGATTTTGGTTGAATTTCAATTTGTAAAACTGTAGTTGCTCTTTGTAGCGCTTCATTTACATGGCAAGGCAAAGTTTTTATAACACTAGCAGGACAGTCTCACGTACCAGTGATTCCATATTTGGAAGTAAATTTTGATTGGTTCTCCAAAAAACCCGAGCATTGGAACAGAGTCATATGCTTAAGGGTTATATCCTTCTGATTTTACTTAAATGTGTCATTCCTTAAAACATCCATACCTCCCCCAAGGATGGTCAGTGGAATTTCCGAGGGGGTGGGGAGCTAAAAAGTGGAAATTGCCCACGCATATTATGTTGTTATGGCGAGAAAAAAATAGACAAATAAAGTTCATGATGATTTTAAGATGTTTTCTTTTAACCCATTTGCTCCTGGAGATTTTGCCGAAAAACGCGTTTTGAAGCTAGTCAAGTGGTTTTCTGGTCACTGTCGTGCTATAAAGAGCTTAAACTTACTACAAACCGCTTTACAGGTCATACACTTCATGGCCTTCTGATCCAGATGCAAAATATCAGCTTGCGAAGTTCGGGCATGCGCAGAAAGCAAAATTTCGACGTAGTTTTTGGGTTTAAAAGTGACACAGCAGTCTTGACTTTTACTTTTCGCTTTCTCTCCTCCCCTCTTTTTTCGCTTTTCTTGCCTCATTTTTTTTTTCTCTTGCTGGGCATTTAGTAGGCTTCATTTTGGTTTGTGCTCATTCTGGTATGGTTTGAAAGATCTCTTCACTCTACACAAGTTAGCGGGCAAAGTTGTCCTTGACCGTTAAAACTGATGACGTCACAAAGGGTAGAAAGGACGTGGATCCGCACGGGCGGTTACGGGCGGTTCAGGGGGGAATGGGTTAAGGGAACTAGTGTTGTATGTTATTCAGTTGTCATCCATCAATGACCAAGTACGACAAGTATGGTGGAAAAAAATCGAGGAGAGTATAAGCTTAAATTTTCAAGAGACACATCTTCTACTCTAATCATGAAAATCGAGGCTTGACGAAGAGCCAGAAATCACATTGATTGTAAACAGAATTTTCGCCAAATCAACTTTTTTGGCCAAAAAGAGCACTGAAATTTATTCTTCATGTAGTAAAATTTTGGAGCAGACTTTTCTGTCACATGCTAGGATCCAGTTTCACCGACAAAACCAACAATGCTAAATGATATGCAAAGCATCATAGATGTAATTAGTTATCTGTAATTACACCAAAGAAAATTTTTCTTGGGAGCCTGAGAAAATAAATGTCAAATTTCAGAAAATGACATCTTACACGTGAAGTTTTCAGAATTTTACCTGTGTTTTCACAATTCTTGTGAAATTTGACGATCATTTTCTTGGACTCCCATGAAAAATTTTCGCTGGTGTTTTTTATCCACTGAGAGTTAAAATTACTCAATTTGCTGATGGAGTTACCGGTAGTTAAATTTCTCAGACAGTGATGACAAAAGTTAATCTTACAAAAATCAACATTGAAATAGGAGACCGGAGATTTCTTTTTAAACTTTAATTGTCTGTAAATTTGGTTTTTTCCCTTTTCTTTCCTAGCTAGGGTTCATGCTCACAGTAGTCGAGGAAAATGCCTTTCCCTCGCCCTTAGTGACACAAGCCCATTTTCTCCTGGAAATTTTGTCGAAAAATGCCTTTTCTGAGTTCGAAAACTGCCCAAAGTACTGTTAATCAGTCTAGTCCCTCTGGGGGCTTCTGTTCTTGGTGCTAAATATCAGCTTCCCAGATCTGGGGATGTGCAGATAATACAGGTCTGAAACAGTTTTTGAGTTGATAAGTGACGCCGCCTCCTTGACTTTTACCTTTTGCTTCAGTCTCCTCATCTCTTCTTTTCTTTTCTTTGCTGGTCATTTACTAGGCTTCATTGTGGTTGGAAAATATTTTGCAAAGCACAGTTACAAATCTTACAATTGTAGGGTTAGATGGATGGGAGGGCAGATGGGTAGTGGAAAAACTAGATTTTACACATTTTATAATTTATTATTATTATTATTATTATTATTATTATTATTATTATTATTATTATTATTATTATTATTATTATTATTTTCAGCAGTTTTACTGTACTTGATGTATATTGATGTTACCACCTTCATTTCTTGGTTATAGGACTATTCTTGCAATTGCGGGGGAAGACTTCTCAGTCATTGCTGCTGATACGCGATTAAGCCAGGGATTCTCCATTCACACTAGAGACAGTCCAAAGACTTACAAACTGTGAGTAAAACGTTTAAAAAGTTTATATGAATTGCATGCCCGGTTTAACTGAAAATAGTACAATAATGCTATTTATAAATGAGAATAGGTCAGAAACTCTTCAGATCCCACAACTATAACCCTAATGGTTCTTCATCTATGATTCCTGAACAAATTAGAATTTTAAAAAGTCAGTTTTTGAGGAGAGCAAATAATCACAATACAAGAATATCCATAGATAAGTCAACAATTTTGACCCATTTTGTTTTTCTGGAACTTGAGTGAATGGATGATTGAATAATTTTTCTAAACACAGCTAAATTGTTGAGACTTAAAAAGCTATTGAAAATTGCTAAACTACACTTTTGACAACCTATCGGTAGTAGTCCAGTTTTGAGTTCGCTATGACCGCTGAATGAAAGAAGTGAAGACACATTTGAATTGAAGCAGATTTCCAGATGTATCCAATGCGTACATTTGATTTCTGGTTGAGGTAAACACTTTTCAAACTGACAAAAGTAGTGTCCAGGTCAATGTGGTCCCATGGCTGACTGTGTCCCTTTAAAGGCCAGCTTTGTTGATTAAAGCTTTGACATCGGTGTCATAACTAGTGTTATAATGAATAAACATAATGTTTGTGGTTATGGTAATGTATAATTAATGAGTTTGAAAATAAGGAAAATGAAATTTAGACCAAGGATAAAATTGAGCCACAGTGTGTATGCTTATGAATCAAAAAGAGAAATATTAAAATTTGATATTCGGTCAGGCATCACTTGGGATCTAATTCCAGGTATCCCTTCACTTTTTGATTGTGTAATATTGATAGCCCTTTATCATTTTATTTAGAACGAACTCCACAGTACTGGGATGTGCTGGTTTCCATGGTGATTGCCTCACTCTTACCAAACTCATAACAGCAAGACTCCAGGTACTCCTTGCAAACTCTAAGGATTCTATGCTTAACGTAAGGTGTTGTAAAAGAACCTAACATTGATTTTTGAAGGAAATTGGTACACAGGTGTAACAAGTCAAGAAGTTGATAAAAGTGTAATAAAAAGTGGGAGGAGCCCTGCTTGTTTTCATGGTACTATGCTGAGGAATACAGCTATTTAGGGGGCTTTGCCAATAACTTAGCTGCCAAAACTTGACAAATAGGTCCAATTTGTACCATAACTCCTGTGAAATGGATGCTTGTCCTTTTGAAATGCAATGGATTTTTAAAAAAGTATATTTTTGGTCCCTTATTTACAGGTCCATTCAAAATGACTGGCAAGTGGAACTTTTGTCCTGACAAATGGTCATCTTGGCCAGACATTGTCCATAAGCCGGCCATTGTTTTGAGCCCTGCATTTTAACGATGTTCTGCAGAAGCTCTTTTCTTCGTGGCCATTTGATTTAATTGGCCAACTTTGATTGATGTTATTAATTCGCTCTCACTGACTAATCCATTTCATTAGGGGCTCTAAAGTCTTTCATGCATGGTCACTTAACAGAGGTTGAATACGCAGTAAAAAGTGTACTGTTGATGAATCTGAATTGTTACTTCAGGACCGTTATTTGTGTGATTACTTGTGACAGCATGTAACTGCCAATTCTTGATGTTTGTGAATTGTTGAACAGTGTCATTTAGTTCCATTTTTATACATTCATTTCAGATGTATGAACATGAACATGGAAGCAAAATGAGGTAAGCTGGCAAGCATAAAATAATAAAATTAAAGATTACAGGGCTGCCATGATCTAGTCTGCATAGCAGGCATTTGAAAGTGATAGAGTGATTTTTGTATGACCTTGAAATGAAAACGCTCGAACAACAGAAACAACAAACGAACAGAAATAGAGCGATTTGATTGGTTTTTTGAACAGAAACAAACAAGCATGGGTTTTGGCTGGATAAGCGAACGTTCGGCTGAAAAAACTTCATGTCGGAAACTCGCTCTATTCCCTATAAGGCGCTGTTGTTTTTTGCACCCATATTACTGCTACACAGGCTACCCCTGTCACGGAAAAGTCATAGATACGAAAAAAAGTTTTTTTCATGATCAGGGGAAAGGTTTTGTTTAGAAGTATGATAAGGTTTTTATTCCTGATGGATAAAAGGACACTGGAAACACCTCCGAATTCTAAGTATTGCTCATATTCAAAAGACTTCCTTCATAACAATTGGCAGAATCTTCTTAGAGCTTCTCAAAAGCTGAAGTCACAGGATGTGACTAGCTGCTGTCTATCTAAACATGAGGTGCAATGTAGGGAGCATAATATAGTGTACATGTCAGGGACGGCGGAGCGTATTTTGTATTGGGGTGGCTAACGAGCAAGTGCTGGAGACACTCACTTGTAGGGGGTTCTAGGGGAATTCTCCGCCAGAAAATTTTGAAATCTTGAAGCTCAGAAATGCATTTTTGCTATTTGCCGCTGATTGTTTACTAACTGATTTATTTACTCAAATCTGTTTCCCTTCATGCTTTGCTCCTTTTGTTTTGTTTTCCCTTCTGTTAGTTTTCTTTTTTATGTTTTATGGGTTTTTTAATTATTTTTAATTTTTATTTATTTTCAAATTTTTATTTTTTGCTTGAAATTGGGCCCAGCGCCCCCCCCCCCCCCCCCCCCCCTCCCCCTTCTCATCCACATATCCCTTTTTTTTTTTTTCTTTTCTGTTTGTTTTTTTTTTTTCCCCTTTTTTTTTTTTTTTTTTTTTTTTTTTTTTTTTTTAATAAAATAAAAAAAAATATGGTTTTTTTTTTTTGTTTTATTTTTTTTATTTTTTTCCTCTCCGCTTTCTTATTTCACTGTTGTTTTTTTTTTTTTTTTTTTTTTTCTTCTTTTTTTTTTTTTTTTTTTTTTTTTTTTTTTTTTTTTTTTTTTTTTTTTTTTTTTTTTTTTTTTTTTTTTTTTTTTTTTTTTTTTTTTTTTTTTTTTTTTTTTTTTAATTTTTTTTTTTTTTTTTTAATTTGGGCCCCCCCCCCCCCCCCCCCCCCCTGGCTCCGCTGTCCATGCATGTATCCCTTTTTGTATCGTTACGTTGAAGATCTTGCATTTTTCCACCTTGTTTGTTTACTTTTGTTCTTTTATCTTCTGTATGGCAAAAATATAAAGGACATTGATTTTGTTTTATGGTATTAACTTTACTTTCTCCTCCCTAGCTCTCCAGCTATTGCCCAGATGTTGTCTACAGTTTTGTACTACCGTCGATTTTTCCCCTACTATACATACAATATCCTGGCTGGAATAGACAATGAAGGTAACGTTCTGCTGCAATACCCAAGCTATATAGCTGATTCAATTGATGAAGGTTTCTTTGGGCATTGGAAATTGGGCACTAGGAAGCTATTGTTTGATGGTTTACTCAGGCATCACATTGCATTGTTCCTTATGCCCAAATGGCCAATTGCCAATGCCCAAAGCAACCTTTATTGAATGAGCTATCTATTCATTTATTTAAATGAGACCCTTTGGTATGATGCTTATTGAAAAACACTCAACGGACTATTGTTTGATTTTGCTGTCATTAGGTAAAGGATGTGTATACAGCTTTGATCCAGTAGGATCATATGAAAGAGAGACATACAGAGCTGGAGGCTCAGCATCAGCTCTTCTTCAGCCACTCCTTGATAATCAGGTATGGCACTACACTTCTTACAGTGTGGTTTCACACAGACGTACGTGTTACTGACCAAGCGTTAGATAACAGGGGTGGATCCAGGATTTTTCTTAGAGGGGGAGTGTGCACCACAAAGGAATAGCTGACTGGTGACGTAAACAAATTTCAAAAGCGAATATGAATAAGAAGGCTTTTGGCTAGGCAATAACATATTGTGAACTGTTGAAAATACATTTCAAATGATACAGCAGATTTTTTATAACTGTGAAGCGGACTGCACATTGTTAATACAATGGTGTAAAAGTGTCGTTTTGGTCTTCATCTCCCGCGGGGGTGGTGCGCACCCCCTGCACCCTTTTGCTAGCTCTGCCCCTGGCTGGATATTGGCCAAGGTCTTTCTTGCCCATTAATTTTTGGACCAAGAATTTGAATTCATTAAAAGCAAGAGGCCAATATCCAGCCATCTTGTTCAAACAATCTTGGTCAATAAAGGATGTATCATATGATCAAAAAGAGATTGTTTCTTGTGGGGCCAACGCGGGAAATCCCGAGCCCATCTTGCCCACCCAGGTAGCCAATCAGAACACAGGATTTTACTGCACTTTTCAGCGACATAGTTTCAGCAGTGATTTCAAATGCATGTAGAACAGCTCTTGCACTAGCTAAGTTCGACCTAGGTTTTCATTCTGCAGATCAAGCTCCGTGTGGTTACTCTCTTACTGAAAGCCACTGGGTTCTTTTCTATGAAGAGTTCATGTACTTGTATTCTGATAGCAGAGATTTCTTTCCGGTGTGGTGTTTAGCATTTACGAAGTCATTCGCGTGGCTGACATTCACTTAGTTGGCTTGCAATGTCAGCGAGGCAAAAGGAAATCATGCCGAAAAAAAACCATTGTAAGCAGGGTAATGTACCTGACTTCCCAAATTATCCCAGAAACTGAACTGGCAAGAGATGGTGTTCACAAAAACATTAGAAGCATTGATTTAAACGAGAAACAATCGTTTGAAGGGTTTTGTAGCTATGAATAAATTTATTGTCTTTTAGTAATGATCCTGTAATCTGAGAACAAGTCTGAAATTGCTTTGTTTTAGATTGGATTTAAGAACCAGCAAGGAGTAACGGAAGTGCCGTTAACAAAAGACAAAGCAGTGTTCCTGGTGAAAGATGTTTTCACCGCTGCTGCCGAGCGTGATATTTACACTGGTGATGCAGTTATCATTAGCGTTATCACAAAGGATGGCGTGACAGAAGAAGCCTTTCCTCTCAGAAGAGATTAAAATGTCTAGCACTTCTTTAGCTTTGTAACCAGACACCTTTCATTGATAAGTAATCGATTAAAAGAAATAAAAGTGTGAATACAGTATTGAGCATAAAGTATTTATAATTATTGAGGAGTAACCTATCATTTTGTCTCCCGTTGGAGCCTGAGCGCTTATGCCTATTTTCAAACCGAGGGGGTCTGACAAAAGTTCCTGTATTATGGCATAAACAACTCGAGACCCAGATAATCGAGATTTACCGGGCCAATATTGAACGAGAGACAGGCATTTAAAGACTCCGGAAATTAGTAAGAAGAATGCAGACTTCTGTTTAATGTGTACTTCCGGTCTCCTCCTAGAGGCGCTCCCCTCGCGCTTTCTCGATTGCCAACCCCGCTCCCCACCCTCACCTTCCCCTGCGTGACGCCTGTCATGCATCCTCGGGGTTATTGAAAATTAGAATATGAAGGGATAACCACATAGCACACCACCCCGACAGGGTGCCCCTGAGCTCCTTAGCGGACGACCTGGCTTATATGTATACCTTTTTCTACCCCTGCATCTTTCATTCTAAAATCAATATCACCCACCCCCCCCCCCCCCCCCCCCCCCCACAACAAAAAAAAAAAAAAAAAAAACAACAAACACACACCCACAGCTATGGTATTGTGAGTTTTGAGAGCATCAGCGGTGGCGGTGACAAATGTATAATATTATTTTTATAGAAAAAGAAAACGAAATGGCAAACCCAAAAGCCCCCCCCCCCGGACGGGGCCCCCCCCGCCCCCTTCGGGGCCGCCCTGTTTTTTTTTTTTCCTTTTTTCCCCCCCCCCCTTTTTCTTTAAAAAAAAAAATCCCCCCCCCCCCCCCCCCCCCCCCACAAAATAATAAAAATAATAAACAATTACAACAACAGCGACACCAGCGTTGGAGTTTGGATATTTGGGTATCAATCGTCAGTTGAAGGGTGGTAACAAATTTTCTAATTTGATTTCTGCTTGAACGATGTTTTGGTAATTTAATGTGATGTACCATAACACTAATCATTCACGGCTAACGAAGGCGCGAGCCGCGAGCTCGCGTCTCATTTTGCGTGCTACTCACGTGACTGCTCGCGACTTCTCCAAATGGACAGCTTGCTCGTAGGCGAAAATAATACTAATAGCTCATGGACACAAACTTGCACAAAAAAGTTTACTGCACATAGTCTGCAAACCGTATAACCAACTACATAAATAGGTCTATTTACATCTTTAAGTCAACAAAACTTGGGTGTAGCGTTCTGTGATTAGAATTTTTTTGGTTATTGTGTCAAAATCCCTAAATCTCACTTGTTCCAGTTATACAACTGAAATTTCATTTTCAACTTGAATCACAAGTTACAGTTCATATTCATCATCAACTAATTGCAGTTTCTGGTTTCGCTGAGCCTTGTCTGTTACGGTCCCTCTCTCAATATTGAGATAGATTGTTTAGTTTTAAATGCATGGGCACAGTGACTTGTGTGGAGTCCGCTGTTCTGTCCAAATGTCTTGATGACGAGAAGCAAAGTCTGTTCAGGGAAGTCTGGGAACTATCGTGGATATCCGCTCGCTGTTCATAAGGGGCGTACCTTCGTCTGTAAGAAAAAAAAATGTATATTTCATTTTTACATCTCCGATTTGAATGGCGATGGCAAAACTTTCTTTATGATATTGCAATCTGTAGTTAACCAGATGATCCTATAGGAATGTAATTTTAGTTCATTAGCTTCGAGGAGTTGCTTCGGTAGACAGAGAGAATCAAGTGCTTTACTAAGGAGGCAGGCCAGGATAAGTAAGTTGGAATGTTACATCAGTTTAAAAAGTTATAATTTGTTGGAGTTAAATCTAGTTTTCCGTGCCTTTCAACACGTCCTGGAGATGCCTTCATTACATTGCAACGGTTAACTATCGTATGCTCCGTTATTCATCTCCTTTGTTCCTCGCCAATAATATCTAATGTAACTCGCTTTGATGGTGTTGCAACAAGAAAATTTCGAAGTAACACTTGATTCTCATGAAACCGTCTTACACGTGCTAAGGGAGCCATTACCACATGCCAAAATGTTTTCCGATTAATACACAACAGTGGCTCAGCTTGACGCTCAAACATGGTGCACGCTTCTACCACAATAGCGATATTTACTCCGGTAGGACTCCCGCTGGGAAGTATTCTACTTCAGATTAACGTTAATTAGTTGTTTTAGTGGCACGCGACACGAGGGTAAACAAACAGAAACAAAATATCCCTCAAGATTAAACGTGGTGTACTTTTTCTATAACTGAATTCGAAGAAATTGTTAGTAAATCAAAATAAAACAAAACACGTATCTCTGTGAAAAACGAACTCAATTCAACACCGGTGCAGCTTTTGAAATAAAACAGCAAGTCCACACTCTTCTGTGATGTAGCAATGTTACGTCAACTGGCCTACGACTGGGCATGTTCAGTGTACAAGTAGCTGCTACAGTAGCTTTTCTTTTTAAAGTTCATTATTTTTACTATTAGTTTTAATTGCATGTTTTCATTAGAATCAAGGCGCGTGTTTTAAGTGAGTTCGATTAATCGTAGTACCCCATGCAGATAACATGAAAAACCAAAGACTTGATTGGAAAATTGCCTTTTACAACGCGAATCGCAACAAAGACAACGCCTGACATTCGGGACACGATAAACTGATGTCTTTGTTGGTTTTCGGTAGGTTCTTTAAATTCTAAGGAAATCATTCGAAATTTTGTCTTTCTTAAGTCTGTGTAAATTTACCCAAAGGTATTATTACCAAAATTTGGTAACTCAGTAAGAATCTCTTCAAATGTCATTAATTAAAAAAATAAAAAATAAAAAATCAGTGGAAAAATGCTATTGAACCCTTTTGTGACCTTAATCTTAATCTCTCTTAAGTTTTTTCTCCAGACTCCTGTAAGTTAATTTAACTGAAGAGGTGAATATACCACCACATGTTTCCCCACTTAAAGGGTGACATCATTTGGTCAGCAATTCTGGACAGGTCGAGAATGGAATGAAATAAAACCTTTTTGTATGTTGAAAAATCGAGAAAAATCTAACCAAAAGAGGTTTCAAAAGACTGGATGTTTCAAAAACAAACTTTATCAGTGTTTAAAACGTTCCATTGGGTGGCCCCATTGATTAAGTTCGAACTGATATATTGCAATTAAAAAAGATAATTATGCACTCCTGTTCCAAATTTAACGATCCTGGATATGTTACTATCCTGCTAAACCGGCAAATTTTAAAACTGAAATAAAGTATCCAAGCTGGGCTGTGCAATATAAGTAACTGAAAGCACATGAGATCCTGTTATAGAAGTGATACTCAGGTAGAGTTTGTAAAATTTTTGCTAGCTCGAATCCAATATGGTCCCCCCGAGGTAAGTATTACGTCAAAAAATAGTTTTTGAAAAGACCTTCAAACTGTTAATATTCTCAATCTGTTCTATGTTCATTACATATTATACTGTTTTCACTTGATGCCACCATAAATTTATCTTTTCCTCTCTATTTGTTACTTAGTGGTTAAGTTAATTAATCCGCTTTAAGAAAAGGAAGTAGATTTCTTAAACATTCTAGAATCGGATACGTTATTAATTGCAAAGAGCTCAGTCGTTCATTGGTTCCTTCAATAGTGTGGCACGCGACATGAGAGAAACCAATGAAACGCTACTAGGATACTCATTTCACTCTAAATTTAACTCCTTGTCAATTAGAAAAGAGAATTAAATTTGCTCATGACAATAACCTCCAATACTCTTTTCAGACCTACAGATGACAGTAAAATGAAGGTATATTTTTAGTCCGAAAACTAGTTGATATCTTAATAACTGAAAGTGGCGCAACAATGCTATTAGCCGATGTCACGTATTGAGTTTCTTTGCTTGTTTCGTGCTTTAATCTCTCATTTAAGAGCACATTTCTATTTTCTAAAAAGGAAAGCATTTTGATTTCGATCTCTTTTGTTCTTTTAAGGAAAGTAAAACAGTAATGACGTGTGCCCGGCACGCGGCACGCGGCGACAACAAAAGAAATGTTTTGTTAAAACTTTCATAGTAATTGAGTAACTATAAGCTGGAATGTCTAAATGGCACTAACTTTAAACTTAACATGCATGTTAACAAGACCTGATCTTGTATATTTCTTAATATCGACATGCTTAAGAGAATAATTGAAAAATATCTCATTTATGTTGAGTATCTGATTGGTGCCATAAAAGGCCACAAAATTAATTATCTGATTATAAGATCGAAAAGATATTTATACCAATATTGAATGAGTTTTTTTTCTCTCATATGTGAATTCATTTTGTACAAAACACGCGCATGTTATTAAAAGAAAATGCTGATGAAAGCTTAAGTGTACATCCGATAGTGGAAGAAAAGAAGTATGGCGCTTAATTTGATTTTCCAGAAAGATATCTGCTGCTAATAAAGTCTAGAAACCTCTTAGAACACTTACACCAAGTATATCTGACCACCGGTGTCATTCTTTCAATTTCACTCCAGCTACGGTCGTATTCAAGAGTTCAGTTGCGCAAGAAGCCACAAAAATGTAAATCTCTATTCTTTTAGAGTTATACGTTTCCACGCACGTTAGTTCTGGACAATTGTCCACGTGGTAGGGGTTGTAAAATTTCAATATGTGAAAAGCTGAATATGATGAAGGACGATGAATGTTCCCGAATACGGTCTTTTGTAGGTATGCTTTCAGACTATAACGATAACCGTGTACTCTAAATCCATATAGAATACACAAAAACATAGTTAACTAAGAAAACCAGATTCATATTTCTAAGATCTTAAGATATAATCAAAACGGCTGACATACAAAAAAAGTACCTAAGGGCATATTTTTTGAGATGGATATAAAAGATCAAATTAGGCAATATGATCATCTCTGTGAAAGAAACATAGATCATTAATTAGCTGGCTTTGTGTCTGAAGAGCCAAGACTGTTATTGACCTGAAGAACCCTTGAAATAAATAGA